CATATCCCCAAGACTTTAAAAAGTTCGCAGGTTACTTCTCCCGTTGGACATATTATGGCAGTTATGGTACACCTCATGTCTCCGACCGTGACTCACCAACTGCGACTGATCGGAATGTCCTCGTTAAGGTAACGCTATACACGACATGTCCCCATGTCTGATCCATTCTTATTGTTTTTTGTTTTTAAAAATCTTATATAGTCGAAGACGTTATGTCGCTGGTCCATGCCGTTAACCGCCATCGTGTTATCACTCGCAATACGTGTACATGTGCTATCTGGTAGTCAGGCTTTCCAATACATGTGGTTCTTCTCCTGACACCCTGGGAACAAGAGCTTGCTGCAAAGACTCATAATCATATTATTGGTCGTCATGAAAAAATCGAAAGAGACTAACGCTGCCCAATTTCAAGTTCTTCACGACTTAAGCTCACGCGGTGTTTCTTTCACTGAAGAATGTGCAGAGCTCGCCCATGAGCCAAAGTATTTGACACAAATGTTCGGATCATATACCTGCAGACCACCAAGGATCGAGGATCAATCGATCAACACCTGTCTATCGTTATGGTTATGAAGTCCTAAACAAGCAGTAATAATTGAGATACGTGCCAATTGTCGACATCAGCGCTTGTCAACTTTCAAACAGATGGGAGTGATACAAAATAATTCGGCAGAGACTTCTGCAAGACTAGATTTGAGTGGGAGTGTTGTGGGCAGAAGTCTGCCATTCTACCAGAAACCGGAAGAAAGTTCCTTCTTTCTATCGAGCACCAGGCTGACGTCTCCACTGGTGACCACCCTCTTATCCATCATTCCGCACGTCGACGTCGAACGCCTCTTCTCGGATATGGGTAGCAGTCAGTCTCCGAAGCGCTGCAATCTCTTGGTAGACACGTTTGAGGCACCGACAAAGACTCGAGCGAATATTCGTTACTATAATCATTAGAAGGTCGTGGCTAATGGAAAACCAATTCATCGACATCATGTATACATACACAGCAGTCCACAGCCAAGTATCGACGTCGATATAGCCGCCAATCTAGAGGCCAATTCTGCGTGGGCACCACTCGCCTCTCAGACTCAGGACATCGATGATGATCTTGCAGGTCCTGAATCCGCATTACTTGATGAGTTCGAGGCAGCATTTTCCCTACCGGAATACGAGAAAGAAACCATGAGATACTAAGTGCCGGTTGACGCAGGGCCGCAGGCCAAGTCTATGATCATCTTGCAGAATTGGAGCAGGACGACGGATAGTGGGATGTGGACACGTTCTAATGGTGTTTCCGGGTGACATTTACCGTAGTGCCTTGAAATTTTTGTTAAGCGGCAGAAGTGGCGACTCTAGATCTGCCACTTCTGCCGACATAGTGTTTTTCAATGTCCGCGGCCCGTCCGCGGCATCAGTATAAGCCGCCACGGCCCTTCTAGCCGAGGAGCGGTTAGCGGGGACTTTCGAATTGCAAATGTCCACTTTCGAACATGGAAGCGTGACTGTTGCCAGCAACCCCCGAGTTCAATGGCTTGTTTCGCCCTCGAGCTTCTCCTCGTCTGGATCAATCAGCAGGATCTGTGGGACCACAGTGCCCAGGTATATGATGGGCTGCATCTGTCTCTGCACAACCTCAGCACGTGAGGTGGTGGTCTGTCCAGTCGGATGCAGCAAGTGGGAGTCATCAGATGACCCGCACTGGTGTGTGACGCACTGGGACATTTGAACTCGGATGAGGATTGAAGGTGAGTCGATTACGTCACTTGCAGGAACTGATGTGTACTGAAAAGCGGTGTTAAGCATGGACCGCAGAGATATGTATGACCATACGCAGCGGACTGGCGCGGTTGGCATTGTGTCTGCCCAAGATGGATGCTTGTGTGGCTTCGATGATAACGAACGCTACCGCCGAAGGCTCTACCTCCGGCCAGCTAAGCTATCAGAATACGTACCTGCACTACCCCTGCTTGAGAAGTACCCCACTCGAAGAGGTCATGGGTGTAGAAGATCTGGGGATTTCGCACCACATCAAGGTGCGAGGATTTTGATTAAGGTACTGGGGCTTATGGTGTTTTTGTTGTGTCACAAGGAGGTGGGGGCGGATGTGCCTAGAACTATGGATTGCGCTGAAGGGGAAATACATCATAGTCATATATAAACTAATGCGCGCGGAGTGGCATATCCTAAGCACTAAACACAGTTTTTGCCGATCATCGCAGAGCTCGATTATCATATGACGGATATAAGAAAATTAGTGCCGCCACCAGTAATATTATTATGCAGAAAACCACAGATTATGGTGTTGACAACTCGCGCCGATTGAGATAGACTCAGTGAGATCATAGCACATTAGTGGTTCATACAAGTACACGGGATGGGGTGACTTCCGAGACTAAATATCGCTCGGGCTTCGGGGAGACTCAATTTAGTATCTGAATGACATACTACGGTATCCAATTCTATCAAGTATAAGTAAACCAATGTTCTAAGATGACAATGTTCAACGTTCGCACTGCGAATTTCGATTAATGACAGCGGCGTGCATGTTACTTGTGACCTCCGGACCGAAAGCCCTCGGGGTCGTAGGAGCTGGGCACCCAATTATCTTCACTATTACACCGACGGAAAGAATCACTGACCAAACTGGTGAATGGTCTGGTAAATCGGTGATTAGACAGTGACCGGTGCGAAATAAGTGAATTTAAATCACCACCTATTAGAAGTTGTTAGAACACCGAAAAAATGGTCGTCAGGTCCGCTTCACGAAGGAGATAATAAGACTGTGGTTCTTTATTGAAGCTTGAGCGATCCAGGAATACCTCTGTTGTTGTGCCTTTGCAACCGTGACTGATCTGCATACGTTTGTCTGTTGTTCCTGACCGCATTAACACAGTATGAAAGTTTGATGCTTCCAGGTTTGAAGTCGTCAGGTACAACCCTAAATAAATGTTTTGCGTGGGATGTCGCCGAAGCCATTTGAATTCGCATAACGTTGAGTCACCCGAGGACTAACATTAAAGTGGTCTCAAACCAAACTTCTGGAAAGAGTCTAGCTGTACCTGGTCATGGTTGTCCCGACCAGACCGAGCTGCTCCAACAAATACTAACATGAAAGAAGTTTGGAGTTATGACGCTCACTATAACCTTTCCTATCATAATTCCATTGCTGACTTGAAACGGTGGAAGGGGGGCTCCGATGGAAGAGGTGACAGGCGGTGTTTGCCAGCATCGATATCATGATAGTCCTCGAGAAGGAGTATTGCAGCATAGATCATTAATAGAGTTCGGCTGATTTAGGCCACTTGAACGACTTCTTCACATAAGATCCGGGACAAGGAAATCACGAGGGGTCCGATCAGAAGCCTTACAATTCTTTCCATCATCGAGTTTGTTCTTGGGATAAAACAGTGGGTGGGGCGGTAAATGCTAAATAAGATTGGGCGCTGGGGTAACTTCAATGAATGTGGAACACAGATCTGAGGCCCTAAAATAAAACTGACCTTTCATCAAATAGAAAAAGGGTCATCAACGTCATTGGGAACGCGCTGGGTGATAGACGGAAGAGAAACAAGTGGTGGCACATCATGAGAACACAGCGTGTTACATACATAGTACTTCCTAGTCAAGAAGGGCTGCCAGGCTAGTATCCGGTTTGGGCAAAAGCGCAGCACAGTACTCGCGAATTGAAGTTGTGGCTTGGCTGGACTTCTTATCCAAGTCAGACTCCAAGGGCACACGATGTCATGGCGTGATACATACCCCGAGAGCTAACGATACTATCTGTGATCCGGAGTCCTCGAAAAAAAAGGGTCCTGCAAGAACTTTGCCGCATTATGTAATAAGTCGGTGCTTTATAATTTCGGCTGCAGATCATTGACCTCGATATCCACCCCAAGTAACCATGCATGTAGTTTCCACTTGTGAACATCGATGCCTTTAATGGACACGGTATTTCCGAAATTGCTGCCTGAACCACAGTCTTGGATCTATGTGGAGATAAATTCGTAAACAACCCAACTGGGAGGATACTAGTTGGCCGCAAGTTGGCCGCACGAATAGATGTTCTACGGAGATGAATCAGTGCCTTCCACCAATATTCGGACCATCCCCATCATAGTACATGTCATGGTCGACCAACTCCCATTGCTTCAAGATAGTACAGCTTTACAAATCCAGCACATCACCGGTCGGCGTTGGTGCGGCATCAATTACACTCCCCTTAAACCGATATCAGGACAGGCTTACAGTAATAGTTGATATGGGCAACTGTAACTTACGCAGTACAGCCATTCGGATCCAAAATTCCTTGCGGTTGTAACGGTTCGGGCTCTACGTTCAGGAAAAGACTGCAGCAGGACTAGAAGTTCGGCTTATCATGAAAACGCAGGACCACAGTACAGGCACCGTACTACTATACAAATGTTCCAGTAAGTGCTCAATTAATCGTAACAGCTTATCTGGATATTACAAGTTTGCTTGCGCTTATATTTATTATAGACCCTCAGATTTCTCGAACTCCAGCCATGATCCCTTGGCGGGCGATTATTCGCGCTCGAGATATTCGGATACCGCACCGAACAGCTGGTCGCACCTCCTTGTTATGGACGCCTTCTTCAAGCCTCGAATGCATCTTACATCAAATATGGCATGCACCCATGTCGGCATTCATTCCTTGTCGTATTGCAAATATACTAAGTGAAATACGGTATAGTGCATGATCATCTCAATACCTGGTCACACTTACTTGTTGTGGATGCCTTCTTTCGTTAAAGCCATCAGCATGAGGTCACAGCAATTCCACATTTCATGGACTCGTGCCCATGCTTCGTTACAGCGTTGACACATTGGAGAGGTATCAGCAGGTCGCAAATCGTAGGGAACTTCTTTGGGACTTATCGGTGTGTATTTTGTCACTATGTAAGCAACGCTACGCCGCTTGGTTTACCGTGGCCTGGTAATATAGATATTTTTTACTTACCCGAACTTTCCCCTTTCCCTACCTTTCAAAGATGGTCATTTAATGACCGCAGGGCATACATCATCCCCCCCATTCCCCGCATGAATTTCTACTGGAACAGGTAGGTCATATATCACGCAACCATTGCCTGTTCTTATCGCCCTGTCATTTAGCACACCCATGCAAGATCAACTCCCGGAAAATCAGGACGTCTTCGACGATGACCTTCGCTGTACCTTCGTAAACCTACTCGGCAGCCACCTCGGCGTCAACCACACGGTAGGATGTATTTTTCTGTCACCCTGAATTTTTTAAACTGACCCGCTCAAAGTTGGAGAACTCAAGGTCACGTTTAAACACAGCAAACCATCAGACGTCAAGCTTCATCATGTTAGTCTGCTCCTTCTTTTACTTACAGAGATATAATACTGTGACTAGTCATCGCACTCAACCGTCTGTTGGCCCTTCGATGTCAGGCGATTCATCAAGTAGCGCTGACCACAACCGCCGTAACTTCACACAGGGTCAATACTCAACACAACCCGTTTCCACATCCATTTCCCAGGTCTTAGCCATACCACCGCCACAAATGGACTACTCAACCACCACCAATATGCTTCCAAATTACGACTCCTGGAATAATGTATCGACCCTTCACAGCACCCAGTACCATAATCCGGTGTTAGGAGGTGCCAGTATCGGGCACTCTTCTTCTCCTGCAATAGGAAGCGGCTACTTGGCCCCACCGACGTCCCAAAAGTATGTTCTTCATTACCATGTCTAAGTGACTGTTTTCTCACAATCACTCTCATACACAGGGTGTATCCAAATGAACCCTCTTCGCACTCCATCATTTCCTCGCAATATACCATAACTAATAATCTGCCTTTCGTCTTTGACCCTGATATGTCCGCCTCCGATTTTTTGCTGTATAATATCTCACCACATCAATGGCAGACTAATGCCGCCCCTCGGCCAGGACATCTAAGCCTGCCGTTCACGCCTATTATACCGCCGCCACAGGCTGCAGAATCCTCACAATTTACATTTGTGATGCAGCCCCATGCACATTATGGCGAACAAATAGGCTACCCTCTAAACCAGCCACCAATCAATCAGCCTTTTCCGTTCCCGCTGCATAGCCATCCCTCGTCTCCTCTTATGTCCTGCGAATGGCTAAATGACGCCGCTATACACTGCGGATTTATAGGGACACTGGAAGCATTAAAATCGCACTGTAAGATCGTGCATCTTTCTGGATCAAGGATCGCGCAGATTGAATGCCACTGGGAGGGTTGCGACTACCACAGCCGCGATGACCCCACGGTTCGCGTCATGCGGCGCGACTGCATTTGGCGCCATATTTGTGAGGTACATTTGAGGCTGAAGAGGGGTAGGATCTAGGCTTCCGCATCTCTTTGCATCATTGCATCGTTGTTTTATTAATTCCTTGTGTTGTATCACTGCTAGCCACATGCTTTCTTCTGTTATTAGGTCTGTTGTTGTCGCTTTCTCCTTGCTCTTAGTAGTATCGACCGTCTACCACGGGTCTACTCAGTCTCACGTTGCGCAGTTTCTTACCGGTTCATTAATATTTTATGATCTGCCTTGTAATCAAGAGTTCATTCGTGTTCGTTTGGATATCTTTAATATTAACTCTGTCCGTATCACATGGAAATTGTTTGATACCTGCTGTGCACATGCAGTGTACATTTCGTAACACTTTATTCGCATTAAAACGACACGAGGAACAGGCCTGGAAACCATCACACGTCATGCATGCACGAGGCATTATGAAATCGCCCAGGACTGTTATTTTTAGTGTCAAAACTTGATGTTCTAGATTCTCTATGGACTTTCCAATCTTTTTGAATCAGAAGAACGATTGCTTGTCGCCGAAGGATACGCATCAATGATCCGGGATCCGGGGAGGCGGGGAAGTTGTGGAGTGCATAAACGCATAACTGGCAGTAGATGTACGTGATTGTGCATCCACGGCCAAACCCGCTGATGCCCCGAAGGGCTAATTGCCGACGTCGTGTTGACCTGCTGGAATATTTGATGGTGAATACTATGAGGAATCCACCGCGAAGACAAATCGAAAGAGCCATGCGACTTGAATTGTAAAACCGAAAGGAAACTTACCCTCGCAGTACGTTTCTTCCTGAAGAACGTGCAGAGCTCGCCAAAAATGACTAGGAGCGTCTAAATCCGGTACCAATACGCACACATCCCTTGAGGGTCCAAAACGTGCAACAGATGAACTATTAAAATATCATTATCGTTTGTCATCTCTCGGACACACGAAGCATGTATAGCATACTTTGATGAATCATTCAGCATAAGAAAGCTCACCTTTCAGTACGCGTATGACAGATCCGCCTTACGCATGGCCACCCTCCCCACATCCCATCCGCTGCACAAGGGAGTCAACGCGGCATTCCAGCACGGGGCAAAGCGCAATTTTGTCAAGAAAAAGCGCCTCCCCTTCCCGCTACATAACCTCCCATACGAATCCAAGATCAGCCCCGCTGAAACGGAAACCATGGAACCCATACGCCACTACCCAAAGTGGATCCCAGATGTGAGGCTTAGTATTGCGCAGAAACCGGAAGAAGCACGCCACGAAGATTTGGCAGCGGACGAAGAAATAAGAGCATATTCGGACGGGTCAGCGGTGGACGGAGGAGTAGGGGGAGCAGCAGTGGTGATGGACGGAGAGAGGGTAATAAGAGAGAGACGCTTTCACCTGGGAAGCGATAAGGCCTACACGGTTTACGAGGGCGAAATCGTTGGGATGATACTGGCGGTACAGTTGATAAAGGAGGAGCTCAAGGCAAGGGGAGGCAGACCACGCACCATGGCCCTTGGGGTCGACAACCAAGCGGCTATAAGATCCACCACCGTCTTCCAATCGAAACTGAGACACTACCTCGTCGACAAGTTCCACGACGACCTGCGCAAAACCCTCCAGAACGCCAATTGCAAGAAACTCACTATAAGGTGGTCAGCTGGACACATAGGCATACCGGGTAATGAAGCGGCAGACGGGCATGCCAAAAGAGCCGCTAGGGGAGAATCCTCAGAAGCCAACAAACTACCCCGCTCTCTCTTAACGCGAGATCGAGCCCACATCACGCTCCCCATAAGCAAGTCTGCTACCAAACAAGTCTTCAGTGAAATGATACAGCGTGAAGAAGAGGAAGTGTTAGGAGAATCGCCACGCTACCCAGAGCTCAGTATCATAGACCCATCCACCCCATCGAAGCACTTCTCCAACCTCGTCGACGGGCTACCACGCAGACACAACTCGCTATTGTTCCAACTGAGAACAGGCCACATACCACTCAACAAGCATCTCCATCGCATATCGAAATCCGCAACTCCCACATGCCCAGCGTGCCAGCAGAAAGATGAATCGGTCCACCACTTCATCATGGAGTGCCCTGCCTACTCCAGACACCGAGATGCAATGAGAGCATCGCTAGACACGCGAGCCTGCAATATCAAGAGTTTGCTCAATGACAAAAAGGCAGTCAGAAAGCTACTCACGTACGTCGCCAAGACCAGACGACTCGAACCCATTTTCGGCAATGTCAACCCGCCCGCCAGCGCCAACAGATGAAACCTAAAGATTGGCCCCACCCTCGCCAATTGCACCCAGATGCCTTCAGTAGGCACCCATCGTCCTCGCTCCGGCCGGGGCCATTACTATAGCGACACAGAGGCAGCAATCAGGATTCAGAACACGATCTAGTAGTAGTACATAGGCATGTAATGTTCACCATAGGGCACCGCCCCAATGGACAATAATCAAGGAGTAGAAAAAAGTACATGTATGTTCAGCGCATAGATGATTTTGAATGTCCATAGCAAACCCTAGTGCTGCGCCGTGTCTGTCATGTGTCAGAGTCACCGCCAGATTTGAATGTACCAATTGCAACTTTGCTCTTTTACTGAACTTCACTTGCAACCTCGGGGCCTCAACTCTAGCATTCATCCTCCTGCTGGTAACCGACTGGTGCCCCAGGGCAACTGAACACAAATATATGAACGATTGTTGACTTGTCCGTGAGATTAAGCTTAGCATGTTGCACAACACGACGTCATAAACTTGAGCTTTGACTGGAATATTCATGTTCCTCGACCTGAAGCATATTTGCCAGCGGCTGCCCATTAGTCCAAGGGCTGGTTTTTCTGGGGGTTGAAGAACCTTCACTGATTTATTTCTACCTGGTGGTCCATGGTGTCGGATAGACGCAAAAAGTTTGAAATTTCAAGGACAACGGTAAACGACTTAATTTGTATGCTTACATAATAAGTCAGCAGCGTGGCGGCCCGCTTCGAGACGACCTTCCATTCAACCAACGTCCTGATTTCACGCATTACGAGCTAAACAACAGCTCACATCCGAACTTTGCAGCACGCGAAATCAAGCCCGAAATCAAGACTCGACAATACTTATGGCCATGACACTACCTAGCTGGTCGAGCGCATTCAAGGCCACTAGGACAAGCTCCAGTAGACGTGTGATTTCCCGCGATATTGCCAGACAACAGTGAGTTCCACGCTTCCATTACCTTGTGCACCTCCTAATAACAGAATTGCGGGCTAGTTCAACGCGCAAAATGTCTACCGTTACTACAGACGCGCCGCCCACCTGCTCAGGCAACCTCCCGCTGTCAGGAGTTCGGGTTCTTGAGCTTGGACAACTCATTGCCGGCCCATTCTGTGGCCAATTGCTGGGGTAAGTTCTCGAAAGAGCGGCTTGATATCATGCAGGACTGTAAATAGACATTTTGGTGCAGATGTAATCAAGGTTGAGCCACCTTCAACTGGAGACCCACTACGAGTTTGGCGCGAACTTGATATTGACGGAACGAGCCCTTGGTTTCGAAGCCTCGCGAGAAATAAGAAGAGCATTGCTATTGACCTGAGGAAACAGGAAGGAAGAGAGTGCGTTGAAGATCAAGGTTTTGTCGTCTCGATTTCATATCCTATTACAGAATCGTGAAACGGCTGGCTTTGAGAAGCGATGTCATAGTCGAAAACTTCAAGCCTGGAAGTGAGTTGCGTGGTTTGTATATCTGCACTATTCTCAATGGTATCTTTAGCTCTGGAAAAATGGGGTCTTGGGCCACAGGAATTACAAAAAGAGAATCCTTCCCTGATCTTCACTCGTGTCAGCGGATATGGTCAAACAGGTCCATGGTCCTCACGACCAGGATATGCGTCTGTATGTGAAGCTGAGTCGGGATTTCGCTTTATAAATGGACAGCCAGACCCGAATACCGGACTGCTTTCGGGCCCTCCAATAAGACCTAACATCAGTCTCGGTGACTCTGTCGCTGGCTTACACGCAGCGTTTGGCACTGTGAGAGGCCTTGTGATGTTGGATGTACATATATTGACGTTCTCCAGGTGCTGGCACTGTTGTCGAAGCAGAAAAAGGCTTCACGAGGGGAGCAAGGTGGTGAAACGGTCGATGTGAGCATTATGGAGAGGTAAAAATCCACCACTTTTTACGACCTCCACTGGACGCTTTGCAGCATGTTGAACATGATGGAAGGCATAATTCCGGAGTACGACCGTAAAGGCAAGGTGGGAGCTCATTGCGCGTCCGTTTGAATCACGTCCAATTTCACATTCACAGGTCCGTGGGCCATCAGGTTCGTCGGTGACCGGCATAGTTCCCACTAACGCCTACCCCTGCCTCCCATTACCATCAACACCCACCTCGCCAACATACATAATCATCGGTGCAAATGGAGACACCCTCTACGCACGACTTATGCATGCCATAGGCCGTGAAGACCTCATAGGAGCGTCGTATGCTCACAATCACCATCGCGTCGCACGGCAAGGTGAGATCGAAGAAGCTATTTCAGCATGGACCAGTCAGCGGCAGGTTGAAGAAGTTCTAACCATCCTCGAGGGCGCTGGCATCCCTGTCGGACGCGTCGTAGGCGTGAAAGAGATCCTGGAAGGCGAACAAGTGAAGGCCAGAGGAGCAGTGGAGGACGTAGAGGTTGGTAGGGATGGAGAGGGATGGAAAGTCAAGATGCCGAGAGTGTTTCCTGTGCTCGAAGGCTGTGACACGAAGACTAGATGGGCAGGACCTGATTTGGGTGCACATACAGATGAAATCTTGGGAGAATTAGGGCTGAACGTTGAAAGTATCATCCGATTGAGAGAAGAGGGCGTTATTGGTTGAGTTAATCCGGTATTTGAATCTTCTGTAGTATAATTATATCTGCCCCGATCATCATGCATCATGACTGTTATAATTTATATAAATCACCACCATGATCCTATCAGAGCGATGTACTATGTAAAGCCCATTTGATCGGATACTAATACACAGCAAGCATAATTCGGACATGAACCTGATGTGACAAACACCATAAATGTCACCTTGCACCCCAGCTGGCGAGCAGACTCATGTCCACAAATTCGCATCGTGACTTCACGACATCCCTAAATACCACAAGAAGCCAGTGGGACATCATGCGATCACTGCACCGAGATTTGCGATTTCTTCGAGTCTCTTGCCACCATCAATCCTTTCAAATACCTTCACTTCCGGGCCACCACCTTCTACACCATCCACAACCAGATGCTCACCTCGTGACGTCGTCACTTCTAAATGCCATCCTCCAGACATGGTTCAACCCTATCCACACTTCGTTCACCAGTTCTGGCTGGCCCTCTCTAGCGGTGAGAGTGAATATCGCAATAGTGTCACCCTTTGATTGAGTCATTCCTGTTTGACGTGAAGATGAATGTTTCAGGGAAGGATACGTTGGGTTCAGGTGGCAGAATTTCTGCTGCCATCATGGTATCTGGTATTGGTAACGTAGAAAGAGTAAACAGAGAGATGTGAGAAGTGCGGTGGGCGCTGTAACCAGAGGAAAGGTGTGTATAGCAAGAGGTAAGCTCCAATAGTGTGTAAACTGGTTCGTGTCACAACAATCAATGAGATTTCAGGAGTTGAAGTGAATGATACACCTCGAGGCTCGAAAGATGAAAGGGCGTAGTGTACACCATTGAAGAGGGCCATACACCAAAGCTTCAACGTGTATGTGAGAGAGAATGACACAATAGGTCAATGGAACGTCCTTACAGCAACTGTGTTACAGTTCGCGGGCATTGATGTCCGAGTCATCGGCACATCTGATCCAAGTAGTTATGGTACGTCACGGTGACTCCAAGACGAGGTACCGGACAACTTGAATAAACAAAAAAAATCAATCAAAGCGTCAGGGCCAATTCCGAAGAAGCAGGACGGTACCTGCAGGCAACAAGCAGTGTGGTTTGGATACTGGCCAACATCACAGGCGATGGAATGTGTATCTCGGCATTCCTGATGAATGGGTTTCTGGAAGAGATTATAGCGAGAGTGAACTTAAAGTGAGGAAGACATTACCTGCCCCGTTTGATAGATATCTAACTTATGTGATTGACAGCACGGCCCCTTATTCAGTAATAACTCTGATTCTGCATCTTTGGAGTCCGCAGACGAGTTATCCGAAGCTGTAGTTCCTTCTCTGCCGGCTGAAGAATGTCCGCCTGTTAAACTCCACAGGCTTGAAGGATCCAGAGAGGGAGGATAATAAAAGAAAATAGTCATTGGCTTATGCACCTAGTCGCATATGTCCCTATGGCAAATAAAATAACAAAGGAATGGTCGTGAACTCGTCCAACTTGATCTGGAAGTCGAACATAGTATAGGAATGGCATCACTAAAAACCACTAAGCATGATATGACAGTATTCACCTTATAAGTTGGGCGATGTCTGATTTCCCCTTATATGCCTATGTCGTGGTGTGTATAGCACCGGCTTAGATTTGTGATGTGTTACTTATCTTGTCTTTTGCCTTTTGTTTTGATGAATCAAATGTAAACCCATATCGACCGCTAATCTAGTGTTCCAAGTTCTACATTGCGCATCTACGACACGGGTCACATGATTGCGTGTTGATCTGTTTCTTCATCTAGCTTCTTGCTGATAAACCATTATAACCCCATGTTAGATTCCAAGCCAGTGTTCTAGCATCTACAACTTGAACAATACTGGACCTAGGCGAAAAAAGGGAACAGCCCGAACCCAACCTCGAGCTTATTGCCAAGTATATCAACACAGGCAGGCCGTCGCCGTCATCCTTCTCGTCCCTCAGGCCTCAACAACAACAACACGGCACGCCGGCACCAGCAAGCTCCGCCGAACGAAGACTTCCTCCCCTCCCTGTCATTCAACAAACAATGCAAGACTTCTCTGTCTCCTGTGTTGGACTCGAGCCCACTCTCGACGCTCGTTCTCATGATTCTCGCTCATTCACGTTCTCACTTGTCATCATCTGCATGGTGCGTTTTTAAGCAATTTTTATTTATTTTACATATTACTTGATGTCTTCCTGCTTGTCTCGTCCATTTCCTCTCTCTCGTTCTCGTTCTCCTCCTTGTCTTCTTCCCTTCTGCTCTCGTCCATCGTCCGTATTCGTCTGAGCCACATCAGCAGTCGCTGACGTGTGCTGGGCGTTTGCGCATGGTGTTCGTGGCATTGGGAACGGCATGGTGGAGTTCAAGCATTGATTCAGCATGCGGACTGCGGCTTGCATGGGCCCAAGCCGGGCCGGGAACATCACTAATGTACGAGAGTCCAGGACTTCATATCAGTGTGACTTTGCTTCAAAGTGAACTGATACGGTCTGAGTTTTTAGTCATTTGTCCTGAACCGACGTCCAAAGTGGATAGTTTCAGTTCTCCGTTAGTCTTTGTTGTCTACCACTGACACCGAAGCTCGCAGCCTTACCCGGCTCCGACCCTGCTCCATTCCTCTTTTCCTATTTCGAAACACTCTGACTACCGGATCTCAAGATGAATGAGGTACAACTCCATTGGCAGAGGTCAAGACCTCAGTCACCGCTCGGCAAGCATATATTCTGGTCATTCATAGGTAAGGATCCGACTCTGACTTTATTTATAACCCCCACTATCGCCTACTCTGCCTCTAGTCACTCATTAACGCTACTTCCTTCAAGTTTCTCGAGTCTCCGTCCAGGGAGTCGTGCCGTATGGTATGGTTCAGCAACAAGCATTGTGGTCTATGTTTCTGTCTAAGGAACGCTGGTCTTCGACAATATGGCCAAAGTCGATCCCACATTCGAACTCGATCCTACATTCAAACTCGGTCCCATGGCCAACCTTTATTCCAAGGCCACAAACTGGATTCTATGGCCAGAGTCGATCCCATCACATTCTATAGTACTGCGGCCTGCCAAATTCGATCTTATACCACCGAGCCCGATCCTATAACGCTGTACTTTATTCGAGTCCGTGATGCCTGGTGCGAATCCCCGCTTATGGACCACTATGTCTTGCTTTCGTTGGACTTCAAGACGCTCACAATATCTGTCGTGGTTACCCGCTGTCTGTTATTGTCAAATTCTTGCAGGTGGTGTTGACAATGAGATTGGGGTAGAGCACGTGTATTGTACCAAGCATTTTTGTATAACTCGCATACCATCCAATATGATTTCCTGGCCAATCAAGTATAAAACCCATAATATCATAACACCAGTATTTGAAGCAATTGTCTGTATGATGGTACAGATGGCAAGAATTTATATTTTTGTTACTTATTGGACAGGAGAGCCACTGTGCTAGAAATTCTACATGAGAAACACTTCGTTGAACATGTTTCATCACTTCAAAACAGTACTAGTATTTGTCACTACACGATTCATGACAATCATTGGTCATAGGGGATAGCGTTCTAAACACTTATATGCCTATATATCTCGCACTGTCATATTTTAGCCGAATATGGTTATTATCTACATGATAATGTGTATATAATGGTTTGTGGGGAACGGTGGGATTTAGTGATGGGCGCGTTAGTCACGGTGGCCGCGTCAAGGCCGCGTCACGTCGCATCACAGCCGCGGCAGGACCGCGTCAAAATAGCTACGCCCCGCGTTAAGCCAGGGCCCAGTATTTGAATCTTCTGTAGTATAATTATATCTGCCCCGATCATCATGATCCTATCATAGAGCGATGTACTATGTAAAGCCCGTTTGATCAGATACTACACGTGCAGCAAGCATACACCCCAGCTGGCGAGCAGACTTATGTCCACAAATCAACCTACATAGTCAAATGGCACTGAAAGCGTCCATGGCTTTAGCGAGTATGTAAGGAGCAGGTGTTGATATCGGAAGAATATTGTGCCCTAGGCATACTGAGTGTGAATGCGAGAAAGGGAAATTTCGGACTCTGAGTTCATTCCCGAGGATAAGCTTGTCGCATTCAACTACTAGAGAACCTGGGCCACTGGCATAGCTCACACATGAAACCTCCAAAGTCATTGCCATCGTAAATGTCCGAAAGATTATCCGGTCGTGTGCTCATGCATCACAGAGAAGCCAACTAGAAGCTTTACAACGTCACCTAATGTGTAAGCACATCAGGGAAACGTAATTCACTACAGAATGCTACAGACCGCTCTGTAGCATTCTGTAGCACAATCCAACCCGCGGATGAGAATGACATAAGAATCGGAACGTGTATTCTAGTGACGCCTACGCCTGCCCCGGGCCTGCATCTTCTGACCCCTAGACGCATGTTCTTGTCTAGGGTTCATAATACGGCGGAGCAGGTACCTTAAGAGACCACCAGCATGTGCATTATCTCTCGGAAAGAACTTTCTCGTCGCTTTGGTATACTCGCTCAGCTTCGCCTCCGAAACAAATATAGTCACTGGCTTCCCGGTCACTTTTGTATCGATCAAGTCAACAATATTGACATGAGTGGCTTTGACCGCCTAAAATGTGACCATACTTGTCAGTATAACGCAGGCGGGAACAAGTTGGACTCCTACCTCGCGGCATGATTCGAGAGTGTCAGGAATCGGTGAAATGTGGACGATCTGACACAAATTGCGCCATGAGCTGAGATTATTCACATCCGTGCCATATATCTCGTTGAGCTGCTGAACAAGGGCGTCCTTGAAATCACGGTGAGCTTTTTTTTTCTCTTTGTCTTTCTTATTCCAGCAAAAATGGCCGCACATCCGGTGAAACTCCGATGAAGCTGACGCAGACGAGTTGTAGTCGAACGCCGGATATGTTGCAAAAAAATCGTCTAGAGGTGTCTGTATATGTGTTTCAAGGGACGGCTGATGTATGTGTTAGCCTGTCTGTGAGATCGAAGGTGGCTATATTGACCTACACCATTGGTGATTTTGAACCCTTCGTCATGCGCAAACCTGCACTGGGAGCCGAATCGACAACTAGCTGTCTGTGAATAGCTGTAGCACACCCTAAGGGACGACGACATCTTGAAGTGACAAGCACCACACGTTGTACTCATCCAGAATATAGTCGGGTGGGGGGTCTTTATATTACGGAGTCCTTGGATGCCTCGTGTTGTTTCCCGGATCGCAGGAAAGGATAGTCTTCGCGCCTGACCAGTATGTAGATCAAATTGGAACTATATCACCATGTTGACCTACAAACATTTCATGTGCCAAGCCAGCTTCTAAACGTAGTACGTGTGGGACTCACAGTGGGAGACAGGTGTAAGAGAGATAGAACAGTATAGCTTACGTGTGTACAGCACACGCACCCAAACTTCGATCGAATAAACGTGATTGCATTTCAAATCACGACTCGTAGCAAGTCGCTGTTCGGCGTTCGCAGCCGTCCGAGGTATCTTGTTGCGACTGTGCGGCAGGATTTTTTCGTGCCATTATGGTACAGGATACAGAGAGCGGGTAACTGATCATGATTATATGGAACGTTCGGGATTCGGGCAAGCAAAGTACTCCATGCACAGGTAGCTTACAATCCACACGACTACGTTCAACACGTTCACATGGTGATTTTGTAAGGGATTTAGTGGGTTGAGAATTACATGAAAAAAAACTATCAAGTCAGTGTACAAGTTCGGGCACACCCATATTCCAGCCGGGGAGTGCCGCAACCCCTTGAATTGAACGTTCAACTCAACCTCGATATTATGACTGATAGCGCGCCAAAAATACTGCAGGTGAGTATCGTGCCAACATCGACATTCAGAAGCTCAATACGTACTTGAAATTACATGTGCCGGTTGTCGCTACTACCAAACAGTTCAAGGTACGGTCATAATCTATTGAGAATGGTACTTTTTTGCCATCTCTCTATTGTATTAATATGCTAAGCCTGGTTACCCAGAGCTGGCTCTCAGCTATCTGCTCGTTGGCAGCATTGGCTTTTCTCGACCCATTTCAATTAGGTCTCAAGAACTTTGGTCCTACGACTGATTACTTCCCCCGTCAAATCAAATCTTTTACACACATATCGGTTGCTCAATCCCAGGCTATAGATATCGAGACAGAAAAAGCGATAGGAAATATTCCGTATTTTGAAGAAATGGTCGGTTGGTACCAGAGGCACCTCCCGGACGAGAGTAAAACTGGGCTGCGGATTGTCCATGGGGACTACAAGCTTGACAACATGATATTTCATCCAGGATAATTGGCATACTGGACTGGGAGTTATGTACTCTAGGTAGTCCGGTACATTCACCGATCACCATCTTCCGCATCTTGATCTGAATTCACTGCATAGCTTGCTGACCTCGCGAACCTTACCCAACCATGGGCAATCGACACTCGTCATATACCCCAAGGATTCCCTCAAGATCCCCTGCTCACTAAATTCACAATCATTAGGCCGTTCAAGAATGCTACAAAAGATGTCCCTAAGACCTTGAGCGCGAGCACCGCAGGCTGACCAACCAACCATATCCCATCAAAGAAATGGTCTTTGTCTGTAGTTGGATACTCTTTCTGGTACGTACTATACCCAGGTACGGGATAGTATATATTGACCTGGTTGTTTTTAAGCTTGCCATAATATCGCAAGGTATTGCTGCCAGATATGTGCGATGACAGGCGAGCTCGGAAAAAGCTTTTCTCCACCCACAATTATTTCCTTTGGTTGGTCGATTGGCAAAGTCGATCTTGGAAGACGTTGGATTCACTATTGATATGAAACCAAAACTAGAGCATTATTCGTCAAGTCCGTGTTATATAACCTATGCAATGAAGGACGTTCTGTATCTACATATGTGACAATTTCGTCATATAGCTTACTGCAAACCGGGATAAATTTCATTCAAGGACTTTATCAATGTAGGTACACCTGGTCGCGCCTTGGCCTCACACCAACAGGTCTTCAGCATCGACCATGTCTTACTTGACACTTGATCGTAACGATTCCTGTCGGGTATGTCCCCTTTAGAGATACAGAAGATGAGCTCGCCATCCTGAATTTTATCGACGTACGGCACAACGCCAGATAAAATCTAGTAACACACTCAGTATCTGCAATTTTGGTGACAATGGTTTTCTAACGCACCTCTAGACCCGTCATACCTGCCGACCAGATGTCCGATTGCGCGGTGGGTCGCGGTGTTACCAAAGGGTTCGGGGGATTCATCAACTCGGGTGCCATGTAACGGAACGTGCCGACCGCCTTTACATTAGTCGTCGTGAAACCAGAAACATCGAGGACAAGGGAAAGGCCGAAGTCCGCCAAAACCGCATTCCAAGAGTTGTCAATGAGAACATTTGTCTACAATGAATATAAGTCATTATTCCCGCAGATAAAAATTGTGTGCTGACAGGTTTGAGGTCTCCATGGATGACTTTTTTGTCGTGCAGATATTCTAATCCAGACAAGAATTGGCGAAACTGTCCAGACATCATTGAATATGTGCGACTATGAACGAAATAGTTACATACAAGTTTCCGTAGGCTCTCACGGTTGTTGGGATTATTTACCAGATAGTCTTTCAGTGTTCTGTTCCTATAAAAAACTGATACTAGACGGGGGATAGGAACCCCCTGTGTATCTTGTACATAGTACACACCGATGAATCGAGCCACGTTGGGATGAACCAGCGTGCTCCAAACTTTTGCCTCTCGCAAAATTTTCTGAAGGCAGACTAAGTAAAAAGGATGACTTATGAATAAACGATCTACATACCCGTTTGGTTTTTTGCTTAAGATGCTTGTCTGACAGAAGTGATGGTCTCAGGATCTTCACAGCTACCTACATCGATGAGTGAATATATACGTCACTAGTGACCGAGTAGCACGTACAGGATACCTATAACCTTGCACGGTGTGGATTCCCTCCCAAACGTCTGCGAAGTTTCCACTGCCGAATGGGCGATTGTTGGACGTCACGACATTTCCCGTCAGATCAATTGGATTGATCTTTGCGAGGTTGAAAGTCATTGGATGATGGTATGGGTGACTACAAAAATGAGTATTGGTGGATAGATTTCAAGTTGGGATGGATAGCAGGCAGGAAGCAGAATCTAGATGATGAGTGCCATACTGCCTGAGCAAGTCCAACTTAAGTATGTTTCCCGGACGAGGTGTCTAGAGTCCTCATGCCCTGAGTGGGGAAAATGACCATAGTGACGAAGTTGTTGTACATGGTAGACAAGAAAACCGAATGTACGTCAAAGCTCGCTTCAAGGATTGCCACATTGGGTTCATCCTGAGTTGGATATCGAGTTGCCAAGACGTTTACAATAAGAATTCAAGAGATGAGTCAAGATTCAGACGATTTTTGAGGCACTGTGGGGCCATTTGATGATGAGTTATTTGTGTTGATGGATACATTGTACAATGTACAATGACTTGCTTAGTAGTGAAGCGTGTGATTACGAGACAAGTCATGTGAAAACTGCGAGCACCTCTCAATGACATACTGACTCAAGCCAAATCTACGACCATTCGTGATGAGTGAAGACCATACGCCTGACCCTCCTGCAGAAGCCAACAGATGCAGCCAACTAAATATTGGTCAAAGCCAGGTACGTGGTTTCTTGTGATTCATTGCTGACAGCCCATAACCTGCCTATATACTAAACTGACGGGAATTGCGTGGTTGAAGGATTAGCGCTTCACGTCAACCGTGACGTGTTTGGTTACTATGCTTCGAGGGATCTTTCCGAAGGATCTGAGGTCCATTGCCTTCTCGCAGTGTACCCTACCGTTTCTCTCACACTAACTCAATCCAACTCCACGACTACTCGTGATGAGTGAAGACCATACGCCCGACCCTCCTGCAGAAGTCAACAGACGCAGCCAAGCAAATATTGGTCAAAGCCAGGTACGTGCTTTTTTGTAATTCATCGCTGGCAGCCCTCATGTATTTTTTGTCCAGAGCGCCGAACCTCGTAGAGGAGTCTGTCAGTCCCTGCAGAAATTGAAAAATGGGTTAACAAAAAAACTTCCTGTGCGTAGATGCGAATGTAGATTGTCTTGAATACGGCTGAGTTTGTGCAGAAACCCTTCAAACGAAAACGAAACCGCACCATTGTGGTCCAGAACATCGAACTTCAAGGTGCTCCAGCACCCGCTGTACAGGTATTTCGGCTGATTATTTACTTTTACTTTTTTAAATTTTAGCGATCACGCAGATTCAGGTCGCTCCTTCTGGCGTGGAGGAAGGTCCTGATCCTAAACTAGTTGATGCTGAACTTCAGGGTGCCAGTGAGGGTACAGAAAGCATGAGACTACTCGGGGGACATGTGACTTCTGTGGCGTCCGCAGCCAGCAATGCCCTGGCAGGTCTCACCACCATGGATGACTTCGAGACGACATATCTTCAACCCCTAAAGATCATCGACGCTGTCCTTGAGAAGATTACGGATGTATGGGTCATTCTCGTTCATGGAAAGCGAACTAATCAAGTTGTATAGGTGCATCCGTACGCAAAAATGGCGCTGGGCGTGTTGTCTGCTGCATCCAAAGTACGTTTGGTTTCTCCCGGAGGTCTATCTCTTGCTCATTATAATTCCATGTAGGTTATCATCACTCAAGCAGAGCGCGACCAATCAGTCCATTGTCTTCTCAAGAAATTGGCTGAAGTTTACCTCTTCATGACCCAAGATGACACTCTTGGCAAAATTGAATCAATGTGCAATATCGTTGGAAACATCGTTCAGCAGACTCTTGAGTGTGCCCATTTTATCAAGAACTACTCCGAGACAAAGAGCTTCTGTGAGTCGCCAAGCTATCGCACTTTGTACATGAATCTTACACTATTATCATAGGGAAGAGACTTGGGAAAAGTATTCTCTCGGAAACCAACATCATCATTAAGCGGTATAGCGATACTCTGGACAGACTCATGCAACAATTCCGGGACCAAGTTGACCGAAACGTTGCCATCTTCGTCCAACGTACGGGTAAGAATTCTGACACGTTTCTGTCTTCACATTCACTCACATCGTTTCAGGTGATACCCTGGATCTTGGAGATATTGCTTATGCAAAGGGCGTAGGACTAGATACCACGAAACAGTGCCTATCAGGGACGCGCACGGAAATTCTCTCCCAAATTTCCGATTGGATTAATGGCAGTGGAGACGCTGCTGAACGTGTGCTGTGGCTATCTGGGCCTGCGGGCACGGGCAAGTCAGCCATCGCTCACACAATTGCCAAGTGGTTCAACGACATGGGAGTGCTTGGTTCATGTTTCTGCTTCGACAAGGCCCAAGAAGCCGAGAAACACCACGAAAAAGTTTTCTCCACCATCGCTCGTGACCTAGCTGACCGGGATCCAGAGATGAGACGATCATTGGTGGATGCGGTTAAAAAGTCCACGTCACTCAAGAACTCGAGGGATATTTTCCAACAGTGGGAGAAGCTTCTCATAGGACCACTGAAGAAATTATCTAGGTCAAGTGTGGGACCTGTCTTGATTGTGATCGAGGCGCTGGACGAGAGCGGCGGAGTGGAGACGCGGCGGGACCTTCTCCGCATACTTACTGGTAAAGTTCAGAACACAGATCTTCCAAAAATTACAGAACTTCCATCCAACTTTCGGATTCTCGTTACCTCTCGCCCACTTCATGACATTGAAGATGCATTTCATGACGTTCAGCATACTCTACGGTTATCCATGGACGAGATACCAACATCAGTGGCGGAGCGCGACATCTGCGCTTTTGTGTCCGACAAGCTACAAGGGTTGTCGTGCTTTGGGAAGGAAGAGTTTGCAAACCTCGCTGCTAAAGCCAATGGACTTTTCGAGTGGGCACGTCTTGCATGCGAATACATCACGGAAGACCTTCCCGGCGTAAATCCAAGGTCTCGCTTTGAAACTGTTGTGAACCGTGATCCTGGGAAATGGACAAACAAGTTGTATGATATGTATCGGCTTATTTTGGCAGAGATATGGCTACGACATCGGTATGGCAATGTCGAGTACCAGGAAGCACTAGCGGGGTTTCGTTCCGTGATGGGGCAAATACTCAGCACGGCTGAACCCCTCCCGTTCGATTCCCTCAACGCCATGCGGGACTGTTTTCCGGACCACAACAAACATTACAAACTGGACATCATACAACATATGGGATCCCTCCTCAGTGGCACAACAGACTCATCCATCCCCGTCAGACCCCTCCACGCATCCTTCCAGGAGTTCCTCACAGACAAATCATCCAGCGGAGACTTTTTCGTCGACGTGACGAAGACGCAACACCACGACTTAGCGTTGGCGTCACTTCGAGTGATGGAACATGGCCTCCGCTTCAATATGTGTGATTTAGAGTCATCATACCTGCCTAATCGCGAAGATACCGGACTGCCTCAACGAGTCAAAACATCCATTCCCCCACATCTCGCCTATTCCTGTCGACATTGGGCTATGCATGTTCAAAAAACGGACTTCAACGATGAGCTTGCAAAGGCGATTAGATCATTCTTCAACGACGAGCGACTGCTGTTCTGGATTGAAGCACTCGGACTTCTCAACGCAATCAGCGGTGCAATTACTGGGCTTCCACTCGTTGCCAAGTGGCTGAAGGTGAGCACATGCCTACGACGCAGTGTTGGACGAACAGCTCATAGATAAACATAGGGCCATTTTGGATACGAAGATTTACGGACCACCACAATGGATGTACAAAGATTCATTCAAGTGTTTGGCGGCATCATTTTGCATAGCACCCCGCATCTATATGTGTCAGCGCTGCCATTCTCACCCATCAACTCCACCATGGCTACCAATTTTACTGCAAGGTTTCCGAACAACCTTCGTCTGGCATCCGGCCGTGATTTGAACTGGACGGTTGCCCAGACCGTGATCAGTGGGCACTCTGGAGGGATCGCCTCAGTCTCGTTCTCGCCGGATGGTACTCGCATCGTGTCTGGTTCGGAGGATGAGACTGTGCGGCTGTGGGATGCATGGACGGGACAGCCATTGGGGGAGCCCTTGCAGGGGCACACTGGACTGGTTTCCTCAGTTTCGTTCTCCCCGGATGGTACTCGCATCGCGTCTGGTTCATTGGATGTCACTGTGCGGCTGTGGGATGCATGCACGAGACAGCCATTGGGCAAGCCCTTGGAGGGGCACACTGAAGCGGTTCTCTCAGTCTCGTTCTCGCCTGATAGTTCTCGCATCGCGTCTGGTTCGGAAGATATGACCGTACGACTGTGGGATGTATGGACGGGGCAGCCATTGGGTGGGCCCTTGGAGGGGCATACCGATTGGGTTCGCTCAGTCTCGTTCTCACCAGATGGTACTCGCATTGCATCTGGTTCCGACGATAACACTGTGCGGCTGTGGGATGCGGTGACAGGACAGCCATTAGGAGAGCCCTTGGAGGGGCACACTGGAGCGGTTTATTCAGTCTCGTTCTCACCAGATGGTACTCGCATTGTGTCTGGTTCGGAGGATAAGAGTGTGCGGCTGTGGGATGTAGCAACCAGACAGCCATTAGGAGAGCCCTTGGAGGGGCACACTGGACTGGTTCGCTCAGTCTCGTTCTCACCAGATGGTACTCACATCGCGTCCGGTTCTTTCGATAATACTGTGCGGTTGTGGAATGCGGCGACGGGACAGCCGTTGGGGGAGCCCTTGGACGGACACACTAATTGTATTTGCTCAGTCTCATTCTCACCGGATAGTACTCGCATTGCGTCCGGTTCTTTCGATAATACCGTGCGGCTGTGGGATGTGGCGATTGGACAGTCATTGGGAGAGCCCTTGGAGGGGCACACTGATTGGATTCGTTCAGTCTCGTTCTCACCAGATGGTACTCGCGTCGTGTCTTGTTCGAGAGATAAGACTGTGCGGTTGTGGGATGCATGGACGGGACAGCCATTGTGTAAGCCTTTAGAGGGGCACACTGGAATTGTTTGGTCAGTCTCGTTCTCACCGGATGGTACTCACGTCGCGTCTGGTTCTTCCGATAACACTGTGCGGCTGTGGGATGCATGGACGGGGCAGCCATTGGGTGAGCCCTTGAAGGGGCACACTGATTGGGTTCGCTCAGTCTCATTCTCACTAGATGGTACTCGTATCGCATCTGGTTCCGACGATAACACTGTGCGGCTGTGGGATGTGGCGACAGGACAGCCATTGGGAGAGCCCTTGGAAGGGCACACTGGAGCGGTTTACTCGGTCTCATTCTCACCGGATGGTACTCGCATTGTGTCTGGTTCGGAAGATGAGACTGTGCGGTTGTGGGATGCATGGACGGGACAGCCACTGGGCGAGCCCTTGGAGGGGCACATTGAAGGAGTTTACTCAGTCTCATTCTCACCAGATGGTACTCGCATCGCATCTGGTTCATCGGATAATACTGTACGGCTGTGGGATGCGGCGACAGGACAGCCATTGGGAGAGCCCTTGGAGGGGCACACTGATTGGGTCTGGTCAGTCTCGTTCTCACCAGACGGTACTCGCATCGTGTCTGGTTCGGGAGATAAGACTGTGCGGCTGTGGGATGTAGCGACCGGACAGCCATTAGGAGAGCCCTTGGAGGGGCACACTGCATTGGTTTATTCAGTCTCATTCTCCCCGGACGGAACTCGCATCATATCTGGTTCATCAGACAAGACTGTCCGTGTGTGGAGTGCAGTGAAACTGCAGCCATCCCCCGAGTCCAGAGACCCAGATTCCTTCGCGTTTCCGCTTCACCATAGCACCGCACCTCTCACTCAAGAAAGCCGTATCATGCCAACCAACACTTATCACGCTCACCACATTTGCTTCTCGCCCAGAGTTGAAGACGCCCTGCCCAATCCCGCTGACTTGCTCGAATCCACCTCTCACAATGATCGTAATCCAACCCCTTTCTTGCTGCAGACTGATGGACGGATGATGGGCCCCAATCGCCGACTCCTTTTCTGGGTACCTCCCGCTTCCCGACATGCATTTTATACTCCTTGGACTTCATTGGTGATTTCAAGAGGAGGTGCCGAGCTCGATTTGAGCCGCATGGCACATGGGACAAACTGGTCTAGTTGCCGGGATGCGTAAGTTCTTAGTCTTTACTATCCGTCCTCGCAGTTACTAATATTGATCCTTCTAGCTCCACGTAACGGTGATATCATTACTGCACTATGGAGTGTACCGTTGATTCTTTGATATTTTATACTTAGCACTTCGTCTGAATAAGTTATGGATGTTCCACTGAATGATGTGCTAAAAGGCAGACTCAAATGTTGTTCCTGATTCGTGATGTATCTACCGAGACCTAATTCATATTGATACTTCATATACAACCGTACAGTACCAAATCTCTAAATAGTATGTGCAATTATACCTTATCCAACATGCTAAAATCCAAAGAATTTCGCTCGAGCCCTTCAACTTCGTTAAAGCTGGTCCTCTTCGACTCCTTGAGAGCTGCAAATTCAGCCGCAACATCGTGAGCCAACTTAGATACACCTCTGCAGTCTTACCTTGGAGGCTTGGACTGCAGCTTATACTTGAATTTTTCGGACCAGTTTCAATACTAGCAGCCCACAATGATCATGATCATGACTGGCACAGTCCACGCAGATAGTAGTCAAGGTGAACTCCATGTCGAACCATTTCCGAGAGCACCCTACCTTGGCCACGTGACTCACATGGTGCACTTAAATTCGATGACTACTACTATGAGGCGGCCCGAATAGCCTCATTGAATAATAATTTAAAGTTGAGCCAAGAGCCACCGACCCCGATCCTGTACGCGTTCTGAACACCAACCAAAGTGCAGGTTGTAGCTAACCATGTACTGCTCAGAAGTTGGAGATAAACTCGACTTGAACTCGAGGCTGAAAAGAGAGAACGATTACCTTGCGGAGTAAATATTACACGTTGTTGTACTACTTTCGTGACCTTGTTTTATGATCGGCACTTATTCGCTGGCAATAACATTCATCATGCATCTCCTTCAAAGTGATACCCTGCTGAGCGCTGAGGCCTTGTACAACTTTACATAAATCCGGTTTCCTTGGCTCTGTTGTTTTCATGCTTCTCATCGTGACCTCGTCAAGACGTTCTCAACACGGAACAAGCACCTCATAGTATTTTATATACGCGATGTCCACTGGCAGCCGGTTTCACTCACAGCACCATGGGTAACCGTCCCTCTATATTCGTGCGCACGCCTCAAGAGCATCTAGAGCACATGTGGAAAAATCCTAGTCCACTCGCATATTCCTGTCCACCTAGGTGTGCGAGCTCTATATGAACATCGCTTGGCACTAATTACTGGGCCAACAGACACGTCCGCGTTTACCTCCTTCCAGAATGGACTCAAGGTAAAAATCCGATGAAGGAGCCATGGGCTGCGCTAAAAAACGACTTTGCGCTCGAACCTACGGGCGAGTTGAGTTTGAAGAAAGTGAAGGGTAAGTGGGCCCTGGAGCGGTGTTCGGTGCGTGCTACCTACTGGTACTCTGTCTACCAAAATGTTGATTAACGTGACAGGCGATCGATCTGGAGAGAATGCAGCCGTTTGAGGAGAAGTGTAAGGGGAGATTGTCCCCACTTGCCTTAAAAGTGTTGGCTGATTCGAAGGGTGTTGTTTGGATGTACGGTGAGTTCGCGATGCTCTTGAAACGTGCTGGTCGTGTTTGTTTCGTAGGGGAGACTTATTGTTCCGTGTATGCCTGTCCGAGACATACCTTTTGGTGTATCTAATGCAGTTTCATGCATCAATGCTCATTCTTCGTCTTCCAAAACAGAACCAACGCCCTCTGAAGACACCGTATCCATACGCGCAGACCGCCTACGGATTGTGCGGCAGTACGATGCTGCGGTCGAACGCGTTATGGAAGCGACGTTAGGTCGCATATCAAAACTTCTCGATAATGGGGTAGTGGGAGAAAGCGTATCTCATCACTACCCCGAATACTCTGGTGCTGACCCAGGCATTCCCGACGTGCCGCAGGAAGCACACAGCAAAGAAGCATCGATCAAGGGGAACGTTGGGGAGGCCGAAGGTAGCAAAACAAGCGCAACTCTATATCAACAGCAACGACAACTTATATTCTTTGCGGCGCTTTTGTTCTTATTTTATTCTGGCGCGCTGGGTCGATATGCTCAATTCGGGAGGGATCTTGCGTTTGGGTGGTGAGCATTTGATTGACAGTTTTTTTACTGATAACCATGCCTGTATGTCCTTCCTCGTATTCACTATGCATTCTTTTCATGCCTCATGATTTACTACTACCGCATATTTAATTGGTCCACTTGTAATTTTGAAATGTTGTTCTATGCGCAATTTTTTCTTGACACCAGTCTCAGGCCAGGCTCTTCTAGCAATTCCCGCATGACCAAGCAAGCAGCCTCGTGTCCTGGCGTCTATGGAAATACCAGGAGTACATTTGAAGCAGCATTCATGATGAATGTGTGTTACGACCAAGTCCAGATCTCATAGTAGTTTTCCGAAGGATGTACCTTGACGAAAATAGCAACAGAGACAGGTACACGTACTATCAGTACTTGCATATGTTCGGTTCGTAGCCTAGTGGTTCTTCCCCAGGGCTGAGGTATGTCTCTCTCTTCATGCATGCTGTCTCTCTCTTACGATATTCCTTCGATAGCGTGGACTTTTTCATAGCGGTTGTTCTTGACGCTGAGCAACACCCTTTACTAGCCGCTACTTCCAATATCATCTTCTACCCAGACTCGCGAATTGAGCTCCATATCTCGACCGGCGACGAATCCCCCAACCATAATGAATCTCTAGATCCTGCATGAGGTGGAGCTGGATGAGAAACGCCTGAGACGTCCATACTACTAGTATGGCATGTCAGAAGCCTCGTTTAGGCCGGGTCAAGCACCACTCAGACCACAAACAAGCTCTCCCAAACATCTTCGCAGTCTCTGTACTCACATCAACATCTACACTCTATGGCGCGTCAAGGCCTACTATTGTTATATTCTGATGCATTCCGCTGAGTAATGATTTGCAGACAGATGAAAGTACTTTATATCTAGCTAGGTACAACAGTCACGGCGTGTCAGTGTGCCCCGAAGGAGCTTCGAAATAATATCGTCGAAGCTGGCTCGAATTGGAAACTGTATTATCGAACCAGATTCGCCCAACATCCACGGGACCAGTATGTATTACCCTTTTCTGTTTTTCTTTTGATTGCCATGATCAACGAGACATGACTCTACGTCAGATATCAGTGCTGGATTAATCTAGGCGAGCATCTTGTCATTTATAATGATGTGGGACGTGGTAGAATGCCTGAATTCAAGAGCTTGTTGAGATTGCTGTCGATCACGGTCACGATCACGGCTGATAAACATGTGGAGGAGTACGTACGCCTTGTCCATTTCTGCTGCGCTGTAGATTTTCCACCCTGCAGATTCGCCTGCAAGCCAGTCTTTTCCGGGCAGGACTGACATCGACTCTCTGGCCATATGTCCAGGATGATTGGGGTTGGGTGGTGGTGGAGTAGGAGGTGGTATCGAATCGAGGGATGTACATCGTTGGTGAATTAGCTGAACGAAGACAGTGAGACTGACCCTGTAAGGCTGTATTTATAGTTACATGGTCGCAAATATCGAGGCCAGTCTTCACGCATGAGGTCGAAGCGCTGATAACGGATGATGCTGACTGCTTGGCTTACAATGCTATCTCATAAGGACGCAAGTTGGGGATCGGACGATACGACGTAGACTCGGCGCTCGCAGATGATGGATTTGAACCCATAGAACCGACGTGTCTAAGTCAGCCATGGCAGTGCAAATGGATCACGTGCTCACACGTATAAAGGGGATGTGCACTTTATTTCGCCTGTGTGCCCTACAATTGAGAGTATCGTCATGGTACACCTTGAGCGGGTTAATTTCGGAATTGGTAAAACAACAATGCGAGGGAGCGTCGAGCTCTAGTCTAGCATACATCATCTTACTTTAGGGACATCGGTATTCATGTTGTATTGAATTCAAAGTGTCGGAAAAGTTGGCGTGACATTTTTTGCCTCGTCAGAGCCGCATCAACGGTGCATCACAACCGATGCATCATGCAGGACCACGAAATGACCAGAAAGGATAGGTTCTACCGCAGTATCATCCGCCAAGCATAGTATCCATGTTGCAAAACCTTTACAAAAGTGAGTCATTTTGTTACCGTCACCAGCATCCGCCCACCTCAAAGAAATCATCCGAGCACCTCAACCATACCACCTCAGACAAACAATGCGCTTCTTTTTCCTCGCCTTTATTGTTGGGTTGACAGCGTCTGTATTTTCTGTCACAGCAAGGCAACCAAATTGTAGCCCAGCTGGAAATATTTGCGTAAAGGATAATGACTGTTGCGACAGCAATGATACCTGCGATGGTGGCGTGTGTGGGTTTGCGACGAGCGTCCTCTACCTTGAGAACAGGCCGTAGCGACACACTAGCAAATCTTCCCGCATTCATATCAGCGTTGTTGTTGATCGAGCGATATGTAGAACGCTGCTGATTGAGAAATGAATAGAGGTGATACTGGGTGAGAGGACTCCGGGAGTACATGCATGAGGTATCTGCGCACTATTTGGTCTTGGCGTAAGTATAACACCACGGGTCAGACTGGCCAGAGATACATCAAATGCGTGTTAGCTAAAAGACGCGCAGTTTGATTGGGTCAAAAGTTCATTTTTTTCACCGCTTTTATTCATCCACTCGACAAGATTGAAGACATGCAGTTGCTCATACCTTTTCTGTGAGTCTCGTTTAACCGTCTAGAAGATAGTCAAGACCTGTGATATAAATCATCAACTTATCTGGCTTCGAGTTGATATAGCCTGACCTTCAGATATAAAATCATATCAACACAAACCATCAACGTCCGGTATCGCAAGATAGATCATCAATTGATTTGGTTTGACGTGGCATTTTGCCTCGTCACAGCCACATCACAACCGAGGCAGGCGCGTCAAAATGGCTAGCCGCCACAACCATTTCGCTAAACGTCACTTTCGTGATAATATAAAAGCAAGTCATTTTCCTACCGTCATCAGCGTCCATCCACCTCAAAGACATTATTCGAGCCCTCAGCAGATCATATCACCTCAAACGAACAATGCGTTTCTTATTCCTCACATTCATCGTTGCATTGACGTTATCTACAATGTGTGTCGCAGTAAGGGGACCAATCTGTAGCCAACGTGACCAGCCCTTGCGAAGCCGTCAGTGACTGCTGCGATAAATTCGCTCTTTGCGCTGGTGGTATATGCATCACCTAGGATATCCCACCCTTGCAAGCCGATTTGCACGTAGCGACACACTAGTGAATGTTTCCACTTTGTCATCGGTGCTGATGGAGAAACAAATAGAGGCGATGTTGAGTGGAAGGAGGACATGATATGTGTACGAGGTATCTGGTTTGGAGTAAACAGAGCACCATGGGTCGGACCTGCCAGCGATAGATCAAAGGCGTGTTAGCTACAAGACGAGCAGTTTGATCAGATCAAAAGTCCAGAGAGAGTCGGGGTTGATAAAGTGACAGTCCTCGTGCTGGAAATTTCAATATCAAACCCGGCCATACGCGCTAACATTGGACAGCTCACAGCTAAGATGAGCATCTGAGGTCAAATTTGAACATTATGATACTATAGAAAATATATTGTTCGAACCGCAGGCGCCGCAGACTCACTGAGTGATCATGATGAGATTATGGGTTACAAGTATTGTTCATACCAAGCATGAGCGACCCGAGGTCGGTGGAGTGTCTCACTTTTCTCGTCTTTCCATCAACATCTACTCCTTCGCGGTTTGAGCCTGGGAGGTGGTTGCGCGATGATGCGAAAGAAATCGTTGATGGGGTAGGTGACGAGTAATGGGACGGGAATGGTCGACGGTCACCGGTTCACATAGAATAGCTGTTCTTTTCCCGACTTCTAAAGGAGGGTTCTGTAGGAAGGATACGCCTTTAATTCTCTACAAAATCGATTGCGGGAATTTCTTATGTCAGCGATTACTTCAGCAACGTCCAGGGCACCTACATTTCTTACATCCACTGTTGTGGTCATCGGACGATGCTTGTAGCTCTGCCCTCCTCACTTAGTAACTGCCTTTGGTGTGCTGGGTGGCGAACGGTGTAAATAGGTGGAGCTCGCATTGGCCCTAATCATGTCTCCCATCTACCTCATTACCATGCATAACGAGTTGTTGACACACTATATCTGAAACACATTCGCAACCTTGTCTTTTCACATGTGAAACCCGCTCGCGATCCGTCTAAACTGCATCCAGAGTCTCTATAATGAATCCATTGCTGCAATCAGCGTCATTACGAAGGCCTGCAAGTGTTGATTTTAGTGCGAGTGACGGAAAGGGTTTCGAGGATACTCACTCTTCTCGACACTTTTGCCAGTGCTGTCCGTGTGCCATACAGCTCAAATCAAGCTCGAGACCTCCTCTGGGTATCACCAATGTAGTTGCAGTGTTGTAATAAAATAAGTGTCGAGAAGCGGGGGGTACCCAGAATAAGAGCCGATTTTTTGGCCCTACTACCCATCCACTGTCATGATTCAGTAAAAAGGGGGTTGAATGGGTCGAACTGTAGTCGTCACGGGATGCTCCCTCCGTTAGCTCATGGGTTTTGCATAGTGCGTGTATAGGGTTGGACGAGAAACGGATGACATGATTGTTCCAATTGTCTGATTTCTCTGCATCCCACAGCCGAACAGTGGTATCCCAAGAACCAGTGACGATGCGAGTGCCGTCCGGCGAGAACGAGACCGAGCTAACTGAACGAGTGTGCCCCCGCAAGGGTTCACCGTCTGGCTTCCCCGTCACTGCATCCCACAGCCGAACAGTGTTATCCTCTGAACCAGTGACGATGCGAGTGCCGTCCGGCGAGAACGAGACCGACAAACTGAATTAGTGTGCCCCCGGAAGGGCTCACCGACTGGCTTCCCCGTCCCTGCATCCCACAGCCAAACAGTGTTATCCGAAGAACCAGTGACGATGCGAGTGCCGTCCGGCGAGAACGAGACCGAGTTAACTGAACGAGTGTGCCCCCGCAAGGGCTCACTGACTGGCTTCCCCGTCCCTGCATCCCACAGCCAAACAGTGTTATCCGAAGAACCAGTGACGATGCGAGTGCCGTCCGGCGAGAATGAGACCGAGTTAAGTGAACTAGTGTGCCCCATGAGAATGGTCTGAACAGCTGACCAGTTCATATCACGTCCGGATGCCACACGAAGAATATTTGGAAATTGTATACCAAACTTTCTCGATAGCGGAGAATTGGCAGGCAAGAATGGGAGTGCTGATACATATAGATGTGGTGTGCTGTGTAGAATGATGCTGCCAAAGACTTGAATGAACCTCTGAACGTCCATTGCAGTCGATTGAGACATTTTTGAACTCGGAATGGTCCTGGGGTTACATGTGAGCGCTTTATCTGGCCCTCCGCAGCAATGTACTGACCTTTAGCCAGTGGGAAATGAGCGCAAGGGCAGAAACCGCGCTGCTCAGCGCATCGATCAGGGCCAGTGACTCTAGCCAGAAAAAGACCCGTTCGTTGTCGAAGAATGATTTTACTTCTTTTGCAAGCTCCTCGTCGAAGGCTGTGTCTCGTACGTGCGAAGTCCAAAATCAACAGGAATATGACAGATGTGGAAGGATGCAACCTTGAACTCGGTCTTGCAGTCCAGGGTCACTGCTATTAGGTAGATACGACGACTTTAGGTCACAGATGTTGAAGTGAAGTCCGTGTTCCATCACCCGAAGTGATGCGAATGCAAGGTCGCGTTGTACCTTTGACAAGTTGATGAAAAACTCTCCGCCAGATCGTTCATTCATCAAGAAATTGCAGAAGGATGCATGAAGGGGTCGGATTGGGGAATCTGCATTCGTGGTGCCACTAAGGAGGGACCCCATGCATTTTACAATAAGCTTCACGTCGAAACGGTCCTCTTCATTTGGAAAATGGTCCCTCATTGCGTTCAGTGAAGCTAAAGCAAGAGGCCCAGTTGTACCTAGTATTTGTCCCATCACTGAGCGAAATCTTGCTAGCGCTATCGAACACAGTTCCTCCGAATCTTGGACATCAGTGGATGTATCTCCGTGCATAATATCTGTCAAAACGAGGCGATACATGTCGTGCAACAGCACACTTCTCTTAGCAGGATCGTGTGACACCACAGCCTTGTAGCAATCCATTGGAGATAGCCCAGCATGGGACTTTTTGATGTATCCGCAAGCAAGACGTGCCCACTCAAAAAGTCCATCAGCTTTCTCAGTGAGGACTTGGAACTCTCTGTCCTGAAGATCAAGCTTTCTCAACTCCTTGGATACGTAAGCACAGATGTCGCGCTCTGCGACTGCGGGTTGAATATCATCCATTGACATCGGTTGAACATGCGGAACATCATGAAACTCGTCATTGATGTCATCAAGTGGGCGAGAGGTGGTGATGAAGCGGAGGTTGTTTGGGAGGTCTGTGATTTTTGGGATGGCAGGGTTGTGATGTTTACCAGCTAGAATACGGAGGATGTCTCCTCGTGTCTCTGTTCCACTGCTCTTGTCCAGTGCATCAATCACGATCACGACAGGTTCCCCAGTTGACCCGGACAACTTCTTCAGTGGTTCGATAAGAAGTTTCTGCCACTGTTGGGTGATATCCGACATCTTCTTGAGTGAAATTGCGGCCTGAACCGTATCTGCCAATGTCCGCTTCATCTTTGGGTCACGGTCAGCCAGGTCGCACGCGATCGTGGAAAAGATCTTTTCGTGGCGATGATCTGCTTCTCGCTGGCGATCAAAAGAATAACACGAACCAAGCCCTCCGAGGTCGTTGAACCACTTAGCAATGGTGTGGGCGATCGCCGATTTTCCCTTGCCTGCAGGGCCAGATAGCCAAAGTATGCATGAAACATTGTCCCCAGTGCTGTTGACCCAATCAATGATCTCGGAAAGGATCTCCATGTGTGTTCCTTCAAGGCATTCTTTCCTGGTATCTACTCCCGCGCCCTCTGCATAGGTGATGCCGCTGAGGTCTAGTAATTCTCCTGGAAAGGTGTGAATATATGTCAAGTCACAAGGACATCCGAATCCTTACCTAGATGGTGGACCTCTACATCTATGTCATGCACTTGTATGGCTACATTGTGTAAAACTTGGTCCCGGAAGTCTTGCTTGAGCCTATCTAACGCGATATTGTACTTTTGGATCCTATCTGTCATTTCTTTGAAAACATTCTTTCCGAGTCTCGTCCCTGTGATAATGGTAGAGGCTTGAGAAGGTACAGAGCGCAGCAGCGGATGACACTCACAAAAGTTGCTGGTCTCTGAATAATTGCTGATGAAATGGGCACATTCACGGATCTGCTTGGAAACCTTTCTGAGGATACTGATAACACACGTAGACAATTTTTGGTTAAGCTTCCTGTCTTGTGTCATGAAGTCATAAACTTCAGACAGCTTCTTGAGAAGTTCGAGTACTGCTGCGTCGCGATCCGCTTGAGCTAGAATAACCTACACAAATGATTGCTGAGCGGTGAGAGGAAGAACAAAAGAGAAGAACATACTTTGGCTGTCCAAGATAACATGCCCAGTGCCATCTTTGCATACGGATGTAGCTGTGAAACTAGATTAGTTCGGTTCCGATCAGGAGGAGGGTTCGTACATCTGCAATCTTCCCAATAACATCGTCGAATATCCTGAGGGGTTTGAGATATGTCTCCTGGAGACTGTCAGCATCATCCAGATCCTCTTGTGCACCTTTGACAACAGATGCTGCAGTTATCGCAGGTCCCAAAAGTGGATGCATGCAATTTGCACTCTGTTGTGCATCCTGAACTGCGGATTGGGTATCAGCCTCCACATTAGACGAAGTAGCCTGAACCTGCATGACTGCCAAAATTTAGAGAGCCTATAGACTAATGGGAAAGTATCAGAACTCACCACAATATCTGGGGTCGATGAAGCATGTTCATCATGATGGACATTTCTGGGAGCAGGGCTAAGACTGCAGGAATCCTTCGAGTGCTTGTTGCAAGCTTAGTTGTGCTCCAGGATGCTCATTGCGCATGCTCGTGGACTCACTGTTAACTTTTTCACATCCTCCTCGAGTTTCTTCAGGAACCAACCAATTTTGTTATGGGGTCGATGCTAGACGAAGGATGTGTCAATGTCAGTGTTTGGAGTGGAGTGCAGTGAGCGATCCTCGTAAGCCACGTACCGAAGTTCCAGGAGCTGTCGCTTGACTGGATGTTTTGGTTTCTTGAGTAGAATTTCTCATCGATGGGTTGCTTTTCTTCCGAGTCATTGTAAATCCTTAGCAGTGGAAGCGAAGTAAGAGAGGTGCCCACTGCCCACATCAAACCAAACGCCACACGCCTCGAAGCCATGTGTTGCAAGCGCTAAACAATAAGCATTTGAATTTCGCGATTGGATCTCTCGAGCTCTGTTCTCGCCGATCGTGACAAAATACATCATGATCATGAGTCTGGATTTGACATTTGAAATTTCACGACCAAATATATAATTTCTACTATTTGATGCTCCTGCATCGAAACGCTATGCGGGCTTCAATAGATAGTTGCAAGTCAGCCTCAAGACCAATCAAAGATGTTAATACCCCCTAGCCAAACACTTACAGTCCGTGAGACTCAAACCGGCCACGGCAGATATGTCGAAAGTTCCGTTTTGCCCAGGCACATCGTCACAGCTCACCACGGCTGAAGTCAGACCATAGCTTCAGCTAGTCGTTCAGCCAATACCCTTGCTTCCGTAAAGGGGGATGTCACAAAAAAACAGTAACTGTGGTTGAAGAGAGCTATGGCATATGAGCAAGCACTTTTGGAGACAGATGGTGAATGACTTACAAACCGAGCCTGGTGGATTATAGTTCTGCCCGCATTTGTTGAGAAACCCTAGCGATGAGCATCTCAAGCATCAGCTGGAGCTTAATGAGACGTTCAGGAGGCGACGAGTTACGCACTATGTCGAACTTTTACTTCATGAGCGTTCTCGGGCCAATCATGATAGCCTATGAGACCGAGGAATTACAGTGAGTCGAGTGTGTCAACCATCCAGTTAATCTCGTGCATGCGGTCAGCGAAGATGAGGTATGTTGAGATGAACTTGACTTGGTTGCCCATGGCCTCGAGAGGCAATGATGCTTGGCACTGTCTGGGTCCTGTTGGCTTCTGAGGTGCAACAAGACACCATCTCGGTTGTGGAAGTGAAGCACTAGCCAGACGTGAAACCGCAAGCTTGGAATGCACGGTATAATGGACAAGTATTGATTTTGAAAGTAGTAGGTGGCGAAATTAAGAGAAATGAAAATGTCTTGCAAGGTAGATGAAGGGCATTAGCGTGCTATTTCTAGTGTGTTACAGGAGAACTATGGGTCGTGCTGCTGATGTTGGAGAACAAGGAGTTGATGAAGATTTAGATGGTGTGTGAGTAGATGCAAGAATTTTCACATCAATAGAAGCACCGCCTGAATTGTCACTCACCGAGAACTCGTTCTTTGCAAGATTGAAGATTCTTGGCAAGCGCCTTTCTAAGAAGCTAGGTGAGTGATCAGGTCATACTATATTCAGCAGGCCTCCTTCTGATGCTGGTATCTATACTTTACAGTGATCGCTGCAGCAGCAAACAGAGACACCAAGTCTATCGTCCAGATTTCACGTTCCAACATTTATCGCTTTGGTGACCCAAACTTCGCAGCGCCGGTCTTTCGTGATGTTGAATAGAATATTGATGAGGGTGAGAGCTGGGCTGTGATGTCAGGTTCGAAGGAAAAGACAGCCCTTTTGCAGGTGTGTCATGCTGATACTCTGAAGTGTTCACATTAACCAATTTACACTGAGCCTTAGACACTCCTAGGTCACCTACGCATAACCCCTCCTCCGCCCTTACCTGGAGAACTATTTCCTTGCCTCTCAGACCCTCCACGCGACCCACGCAACTGTGTGGCTTTTGTATCATTTGCGCATCGGCCGCGCGTAGCAGGTGGTACCTTCTACGACTACACTTCTCGATACGGCGCAGTCAAAGAAGACCGTATCACCACTTCGAGAAAGTATGTTTGGACAATACGACTTTCTGAACATCCAGCCGAAAGGTGGAAAGGTGAAGACTCCCGTTGAAATTGTGCAGGACGAAGTGAAGAAGGGCATCTTTGAGGACCTAACTTCAAGACTAGGTCTTTCCTCCCTGTTGGATCTATCTTTGTTAGCTTTATCAAATGGCCAGACGCGTCGAGCACGCATTGTGAAGGCTATTTTGTCTGAACCAGAGCTCCTCGTACTCGACGAACCTTTAAGTGAGTGATTGAACTTACATTCGACGAGCGTAAAGTCTAATGGCTGTACTTTATCCAGCCGGCCTTGATGTTAATACTCGCCCAATCTTGCTGAATATCCTCCGGTCACTGCACGAGTTTCGCAGTCCACGCATCATCATGGGTATCTGGATTCAGGACCCTGTTCCTGACTGGATTTCGCACGTCGCTCTAGTGACGGGCGAAACTATCCTGACAGGTGTCAAAGATGAAATCATGTCCAAGCATGCGGAATATCATGCAAAGGAAGCTGAGCATAGAATGGCAAGCACCACTCAGTCATATCTGCAGTCTGGCCTCAATCATGGAAAGCCAGTAGTTAACATGAAGAATGTAAACGTATCATATAGCCCACGCAAGGTAACTACACTATTCTTCACTGTTTCTGTGTTAATGACGCTGTTTCGATCCAGGTGCTCAAAAATATCAATTGGACCATCCACACTGGCACCTTCTGGCATGAATGGTGCGTCAACATTTGCACGAAACCGATACTTTAGGATTCTGATCAGCTATCACAGGTTCCGGGAAAACTACACTTTCGCTTCTGACTGGCGACCATCCCCAGTCTGACACTCAACGAGGCGATTAGATTCTGGAGTTGTTCTATCGGCCTCGGCAGCGTATCCCTACACTCTTACATTCGCTCATTGCCATAGTTTCACCCCTCCATAGCTACGGCACCACCGATCCTTGTTGTTTATGCCAGGGCCCAGGGACTCGCATCAGAGAACGTGCGACACCTCCGACCTTCACGTTGATCAACTGCAGGTGAGCATCCCGAAAATCCTCCGGAACAGCACACCATAGGAAAACAAACGGCATCCATATCCAGCATGCGACCTCAAGGTACTAGTAGACGATTTAATGACCGAGCTCAGAGTAGACCGCTGTCGCACGTGAGTGAAATTGTATGCCATATGCAGCCCTACAACAATGTATATATTTGAAATACCACTCGAAACACTCCGCCTCTCCCTCATGCTTCATCCTGTATATAATGTTACAGTGTGAGTGGATGGCTTATTGCGAGGATGGATATGTTCGCATCAATGAAGTGTATTATCTGGATGGGAATGATAAGCTGGGTCTCTTGAGATATTTGAAAAACTAGACGAAAAATTAGCTAATACACGGCACGTGGCACTTTTTCCTCGAGTGGTGATGTCACTCAAGGAAAAAGTGCCCGTGGCTTGCCTCACGCCAACTTGAACTGCGCAGAGCAAACTGGTGTCACAACTAAGCCTTATTCGCTCTCTGTATCCTGTACCATAATGGCACGAAAAATTCCTGTCACACAGTCGCAACAAGATACCTCGGACGGCTGCGAATGACGCACAGTGACTTGTTACGCGTTACGAGTCGTGATTTGAAATGCAATCCCGTTATCCGAAGTTTGGGTGCGCGTGCTGTGCACACGTAAGTTATACTCTCCTATCTCTCGATAGGGTACACCTGTCTCCCACACATAAGTCTAGAAGCTGGCTTGGCACATGAAGTGTTTGTGAATTGTGGCCCGGGGTCCCCATGGTGATGGAGTCCCAATTGATCTACTGGTGAGGCGCAAAGACTATCCTTTCCTGTGATCCGGCTTCGTAATATATATAAAGATCCCCCACCTGACTATATTCTGGACGAGTACGACGTGGAGTACTTATTACTACAAGATGTCATCGTCCTCTAGGGTGTGCTACAGCTATTCACAGACAGCCACTTGTCGATTCGGCTCCCAGTGCAAGTATGCGCATGACGAAGGGCTCGAAGTCACCAATGGTGTAGGTCGATATAGCCACCTTCAATCTCACATACAGGCTAAGACAAACATCCAAAACACAGACACAGACACCTCTAGACGGTTTTTTTGCAACATACTCCGTGTTCGACTACGACTCGTCTGCGTCAGCTCCATCGGAGTTTTACCGGATGTGCGGCCAGTTTTGCTGGGATAGGGAAGATAAAGAGAGAGAAAAAGCTCACAGTGATTTCAAGGACGCCCTTGTTCGGCAGTTCAACGAGATATATGGCACGGATGTGAATGATCTCACTTCATGGCGCAATTTGTGTCAGACCGTCCGCATTTCACCGATTCCTGACACTCTCAAATCATGCCGCGAGGTAGGAACCCAACTTGCTCCCGCCTGTGTTATACTGACAAGTATGGTCACATTTAGGCGGTCAAAGCCACTCATGTCAATATCGTTGACTTGATCGATGCAAAAGTGACCAAGGACCCAGTGACCAGATTTGTTTCCGAGGCGAAGCTGAGCGAGTATACCAAATCGACGGGAAAGTTCTTTCCAACAGATAATGCATATGCTGGTGGTCTCTTAAGGTACCTGCTCCGCCGTATTTTGAACCCTGGACAAGGACGCGTGTCTAGGTCTGGTCAGAAGACGCAGACCCGGGGCAAGCGTAGGCGTCACTAGAATCTACGTTCCGATTCTTATGTCATTCTCATCCGCGGGTTGGATTGTGCTACAGAATGCTACAGAGCGGTCTGTAGCATTCTGTAGTGAATTACGTTTCCCTGATGCGCTTGTACATTAGGTGTCGTTGTAAAGCTTCTAGTTGACTTCTCTGTGGTGCATGAGCACGCGATCAGATAATCTATTAACGATGGTAATGACTTTAGAGGTTTCATGTGTGAGCTATGCCAGTGGCCTAGTGGTTGGATGCGACAAGCTTATCGTCGGGAATGAACTAGTGCGGCGTTTAGAAAACGTTTACACGAGAGAGTTGAGGATTGGATGGACTTAGGTTTCAGACAAGAGAACTGCCTGAACTAGATGGATTCGGTGGGGGAAAGATCAACTACCCTAACAGTAGATAAATGGCGCTTTATATAGTGTAGAGTCAGGAACAATAAAGAATATGAGAGAAACTATGGAGATATGTAGGGACGAAGGCTTTTAGGAACGCTACATACGCCCTCCAGGTCCTCTTGTGAGGACCTTCAAGTCATCTGCGGTAGAGGACCATCAAGCCTGAGATACGTACGCAGATCGGATGTTCATGGTACCCATCGCTGCTAGGAGGACGAGGAGGGTAATGTTAATGATAGACAACAATCCTAGGACGAATCTGCTTCTGCAGGAGGATCGGGCGTATGGTCTTCACTCATCACGGTGGTCGTAGATTTGGATTGAGTCAATATGAGAGAAATGATGAGGTAACGCTGTGAGAAGGTATTGGACTCATCAGACAATATTATGGACATAACCAACACGTCACTGTTAACTTGAGGCGCTAATCCTTCAACGTGAACCACGCACTTCCCGTCAGTTTATATCGGCGAGCTATTATGTGCACGTCACAGCACACAATAATAATGGAGCATCAAGAGAGCCTAGTCTAGTCCAGAGTCAAATTGCACAACGGTGATATCGCTGTGCCATTCGACTCTGAACTAGACTACTATTGAATCTGCAAGACCACTGAAATGAACGCTTACGACTTCAGCGAGTCATTTGGTCCAGAAAGCTCCGGATTCGCTCAAGTCGAGTAAACTTTTACGCTTATGTAATACAGACTTTCGTATGTAGCATAAACATTCCCAAACACACTATATATCTTCTGCCTTACTCCCAACCCACTCAATGGTCAATTCACATGCAATACAACACACGGTCACTTGATCAAGTGCGATGGAGATAGAGGAGCACCTGTTTCGATGATGCTGTCAAATATGGCAGAAGTAGGACGACAAACCGTGATGTGCATTTATAAAGCGTGCTCCTTCAAAATTGTTCCTTGGTAGAACTGGCAGTACTATTCCCTACTCATCCGGAACCAAAAGGAGAGCACGAGGCAATACAGGGATTAGTCCATGTACATCCTCGGAACATAAAGTGTGTATACCCATCACCATTTGCCGTTATTGGCCACCACCAGCGTAACTTCAGTGGTACCAACACAAATTTGTACGCTCCCTTCCCATATTTTTCGGGGATTTTTGCAGGAACTTGCAAAACGACTTGGGGTTAACGTGCAGTTATCTTTCTGAAGAGGCTCTAATGCTCAATAATGGTGCGAACGTCTGAGCTGATTTATTTCAAGCGACAGGAACTACACAAATTAAAGGCACCGATCCTGTTATATGGGCGCTCCAACTTTATGACGCTGCTCGGGCCTGAGGCCTGAGGTTTGTCAAACTTTGACTCCAGCCTATCTTTTGTTCGTCGCCAAACCTGGCGATAATAATCCATCTTGAGTGTTAGGGGTATCGTTTCGGAAAAGCACCAGCTACATCCTGGTTGAGTGACGTTGGTATGGAGCACACACTTCTGACTATTCTATACAATCTCGTGCACTGTCACATATATCATTTGCAGGTAAGAGCATTGGGAGACATGACCAGATCCGCCATTGGCCTTCATCGCTATAAAGGCAGGATAAACATGGCCCAGAAATCCCCAGTCACCAGTTGAATATTCATCCCTTATTCTTCATTCATCATGCGTATCGACTTTCATTCCTTCGTCATATTAGCCCTCGCTGTAACAATGACGTCGAGTGCTACATACCAAAGGTCGAGCCAGCTCGCAGGCCAGAGCTTCCTTAACGCGTTTAAATTCCAAGCCATCTCGGACCCCACCAACGGCAGAGTGTAAGACATCCCCTGAATCGCAATATTTGGGGGCTGATTCACTCCACGTTCCCAGGACCTATGTCAACGAGAGTACTGCCAAAGCAGATAAACTCGTTTCAGTGGCTAATAATAAACTCACGCTTCGAGCTGACTATACCACGAAATTGTCCTCCTCCGACCCAGGAAGAAAATCTTTTCGAATCATGTCAAATTCCCAATACGAAACTCATGTGGCAATGTACGTCTACGTGAACTTGTGGCACGAGTGCGAAGAATTTTACTTATCTAATCCAGTTTCGACATTGCGCATATGCCACAAGGTTGTGGAACATGGCCAGCTATTTGTGCGTTCAATCTCTTGTGATCGGTTGACTTGAAGCTGACTATGGGTCAGGGTTAGGATTACTCCTTCTCTCAGTGTTTTGACGTCTGACGAGCGCACCACGATGTTATTGATTTAACAGGGTTTGTCCCATTCTCAGCATAATTTCTTTCATTAATATTCACCACAGGAAGTGGGGGCAAACTGGCCGAACGAAGTGTGTTCAGATTGTTGTTTTTTTTCTGTTATAACTCATGGTTACAGGGCGAAATCGACATTGTAGAAGGCGTGAATGATAAAACTCCCAATACATGCAGTCTACACACGAGCTCCAGTAAGATCACGTTCGAGTGGTGAAAACTATGGGTACTCAAATTGGTTTTCAGATTGCACAATGCCCTCTTCTCGCGCAATGTCAGGGTCAGGTTTATCGAGTCTCTAGGTATTTGGTGGTGCCTGATGCAAATTGAATTTAGCACCGTCAGTGGTACGAACTGCTACGCATACGCTAACGGCAATGCGGGGTGTGGGGTCAATATCAACGACAACAAGAGCTATGGCCCGCCGTTTAACAGCAACGGGGGTGGCTGGTATGTACTCCATGTTGGTCATTAGTTCTTGCAGGATAACAGAAAACCATGGCCAGGTATGCGATAGAAAAGCGTTCGACTTACATCAAGATTTTCTTTTGGGAGAGGACGAGTGGCTCTGTTCCAAGCGACGTCAAGTCTCCTGGGTCAAGCATCAATACTAGCCATTGGGTATGTTATTCCCACGCGTTTTTATGTAATTGAATCCCTAACGGAACACAATTTCAAAGGGGACACCCGCCGCGTATTTTCCCGATACTTATTGCGATCTCTCCACTCATTTTGGGGCGCAAAACATTATCATTAACCTTACATTCTGTGTGTGATCATCGTCATTCTTGAACTTTCACCTAACCTGATACACGTGGCTTATCCAGGCGGAGACTGGGCAGGTTCAGTTTACTCCTCGTCTGGATGTCCATCTACATGTGTTGGTGAGTATCCACTCTTCTAGCGAGTCTCTCGAAAAATTCATCCCACATTGTCAGATTATGTAAACAACAACCCATCAGCATTCAAGAATGCTTATTTTGAGTTCAACTCGTTGAACATCTACGAATAAGGCTCGCGTTTTGCGTTGAATGCCGCACCGGCAGCTACAAAGTATTGTGTAATTGTATTGACATCACATGTATGCCCATAAACTAGAATACTTACTGTTTTTATCCCCAAGCGTGATATAGAGATGAATTGCAGCATCGAATCTGATAGCCTCGTACGTATCCCGACGCGGCCGGATCGGCAAGCGCATAAGTACTTTTGGCTGCGGAAGGTCGTCATTTTTTACTCGTACACATTTCGGATAGATATAATTCCTTGCTGTATCATCTACTTTGAAGTCACAGGAACGACGAGACCCGGCACAGCAGTGTTTCTCGTAGCGTTTTAATGTTTTATATTTGTTTATCTATGAAGCTAATCACATTGGCCCCACACTCCACTATCGATATCCTTACGCGTGTGCCTCGAAACAAGGGTTCGTTCTCTGGTCACTTCTTGATCAGGACTATATGTACATAATTCTGGTTGCCTCATGGCATCCGTGCAGTCGCAGCAGAGATGGGTATATTTTTACGGCCACCCCCCAACCACCCCAATAACATGAGGTTCTCCACAGATTCTGATACCATTCTGGGGTGCTTGTAATTGTATTGGAGCCCGCTGCATGGCCGTAATATGTGGGTGCGGGAAGCGCCCTTTAGTGCGCCGTTCGTGGGAGCGTGTCTACAGCTTACGTTTCCGTGCTCAAACGAGCCAGTGATAATTATCCATGTAATGTACCTTGAAGCTTATGACTTTCGCGGCGGAGAAACACACGGAAGCAATGACATGGACATCCAATTTAAAAAACAAGCCAGGCCATAGGCATTGTTCGTTGGTTCAAAATAGGTCCAGCTTCGAAGAACTACCTAAAGACAGGTGTTCCGCGGGCCCACAATTTGACCGTGACTCGTAGCCGATTCACATGCACTCATTATGTTACAGTCATTGGATTCAGGACTATCTTCATCAATTTGTGGGTCAGTTACCATATATAGGCTAATGACGATCCTTCTTCGCGGGTTCTTCGTGGGTAATGGGCATGCACGTAAGCCACGAGGCGGATATGAACGCCTTACATAAGAGTCTGTTCGCGATGTGGCACAGCACAGGGGTCTCTCTCATCTTCTGTGTTCTATAAGCCCTCCCATATACTATGTCTTCTGGTTTAGAGGTAAGCTCCGACCAAATTCCCTTGAATTGATTTTTGACAGAAAAATATAGCGAAGAAGGAGCGAAAGCGCCAATTCAAGGCGTACGCTCACTCCACCTCCCGTCGACGACACGCCCCTCGCCGCATTCTTCGCTCAATTCGCAGCATTCTCCTTCAACGAGAGCCAGTCCTCAAACAAGAACTTTGACCGTCTCGTCAAAGTCTTGAAATGTGACGTCGAAGATACTCAGAGGCGCATAGTAGTACGAGAGGGATTCAAAGACGCGCTCGTTCAGGAATTCAACACGCATTTCGGGACTGACGGAAACGACATTTCGAACTGGCAGAATTTATGCCGCGTGCTGAGAATTGATCCTGTTCCGGATTCAATTGAGGCGTGTCGTCAGGTTTGTGGATCGTTATTGTAGCGAGTTATCGTGGCTGAGGCGCTTGTGTAGCGCGTTTGGGACACGCATGTCAACCTTGTAGACCTGGTTGATTCAGCGAGGACTGGGAAGCCTGTAAAGCTGTTTGCGTCCTTGGGAGAGTTGACAGCATATACTCTCCAGCAGAAGCCGAAGAAATTCTTTCCGAAGGAGAATGCGTATCAAGGCGGGTTACTGAAGGAGTTGCTAAGAGAGATCATAAACCCGTACTTCGGGAAACGGAGGAACGGGAGTGCGAAGAGAAAGGAAAGAAAGAGGAAACAGAAGGCCGCAAGGGCAGCAGCGGTACTTGACTTTTAGTGGTGAAGACTGACCGGAGCTGTCCCTTTGAATTCGTTTCGCAACATTCGCTTTCATTACGTTCTCTGTACCATTAGCATGCGCACTATAACCTGTCAACAGTTTGTAATTTATCTCGCAGATGAAATGCACGTTCAAATCCACAACACTGCAGTTAAATTACTAGCAGTACCCTAGAATCGTGTATTAAGGCCTACCACTATCATATTATAACTCTGTGACGTCTTGTATATTCTAGTGTGCGTAGTCACTCTGCCTCCAACATGCCAACCTGCAGCGGTTCCCTTGTGCTGGCGAGCATATTTGGATTACGTGACTTAATGTCCCCGTATGTCCTTTCTAGCTGCCCAATCTTCTCAGAAAGTAAGCGCGCTTCGTCACTGGCCTTGAATGATTCCTTGATAGCGTCGACAACGACCAAATTGTTGCGCTGGAGATCGCTGTGAAGGCGCGCGAGGCGTACTCGAGTATCGAGAAGTATGCTTTCTGGCTGATCCCCTGAAGTGCGTTCGAGAGGTGATGATGGAGTAGTGACCCGTGCGTTCGCAAATGCTGGAACTAAATAAGATACCGTTCTCTCCGTCAGATAAACACTCACCCTTTGAAAACACGTCTGGAAGTTCCTGCACAGAAACCTTCTTCCGGTGCGAAATGAACGCACTATTCTGGCGACCTATATACGTCTGTTCGAGCAAGGATGCGATTCAAAGATCACATAGACAGACCTGATCGATTCCGCCTTGGAAGACGGCGAGATCTTGACAGTCCATCCTCACCCGACTCTGGTGTGGATTCTATGCTCCGTTTCTTACGATGCCGAGTAGTGCTGGATTCCGCTTGATCGTGGGGAGAAGACGAATACGAGGAACGATCGCTGTCCGACGAACGACTGCGACGCGAACTGGGGGTTTTCACCATTGGGCTACCACCGCTGTCTTCACCAGTAGGCAACTCCTTTTGATTGAGGACAGGGGTGGACGGCCGCGACATTCCGCATGCATCAGTGAGGAGACCTTCTGAGATATTGTGCCACCTCGTTAATAACCAAACCATCATCTTCTGCGATGACACCTTCGCCGTCGCACCAAAAATCTTGTGCCCAAAGATCCGCGCGATATCCTCGAATTGGATGCCGTTCTCAGGACAAAGGGGAAGTTGGGTGAAAAATCCGCAGAGGTAAATCAGTAGGGAGAGATTGCCTATAGGCAGGAAGCGGAGGATTATTTGTGCAATCATGATCTGATGGCGCTCGATATCACCGTCGTGACTAAGGTGAAGGTCGTCCTGGACTTGTTTCTGATGCTGTCGGGCTGTTATGGGAAGCAAGGGTGGCAGCTCGCCTTTATCACGTTTCTCCTCTTCTTCCGCATCCTGTTGGCTTCGCCTTACCTCCTCGCGCTTCACGCTGGGCTTGACGCACCAGTGCCAAAATCCACCGTAAAGTTTAGGATCGAGGAGAGGTTGGGGAAGAGTGGAGATGAACGTGGATAAGACAGCGCAGATGTCTGGCATGGTCTGCCCGTGCATGCTGAATTGAGCCCCATAATCGGTGCTGGAACTGTAGATGTCGATCAATTGCATGTGCCGATCGAGGTTAGGCAATGTACGGAACAGCCCCTGTTGGTAAATACCTGATGAGGGTAAATGATGGATCAATTCAAGGGAGAGAAGATGTGGTACCCGTTCTGGTCAGCTCTTCTACACAGGCAACGACAAGGGTCGGTACGTCGTGCTGGTGTTCGCCGATGGTGATCGTGGATGATGCATGGATCAACACATCACGCAACGGCGCTCCTATCACACCTGTCTGAATGTTAGTGTAACACAAAAACTACACGCAAAACACAACAGACGAAATTTTGGATCTCTCTTCTCAGCACCGCCCTTGCGCTTTTCACGAAGCTTCTCTCGTAAATCTCCTTCTTCTCTATACATTTCCATTACATCCTCGTCAAAAGAAATGTGATCCATCGCACGATGCTTCTCACGTCGAACGAGCTTGTCGAGCCTAGGGTACAAGATGTGTGGCTTTGGTCGGGGTGCATAAGGTTTTCCACGGTCTAACAGCGTCTTCGGCTCGCGCTGTGGCTGATCTTCCTCGAGGCGCCTGCTACCTCGTGGTAGATGGGTATTTGAGGAAGGGGGAACATTGTGGTGTGACGTGTAATCGAGTTGAAGTCCGCATGCCCGAGCCTGCCTGTCCCTCTCTATTTCCGCGGATGACGGTCTGGGTATGCGCCTGATGTCTGGCATGGACGCAGAGACATCGCGAGTACCGTTCTGCTGTTGTTGGAAAGCATGTGGTGGCAGGGATGTACGTTTTTGATGGTCGCCATGATCGCGAGGTGATTGCTGGTAATCGGTGGGATGTGGAGGATTATACTGCTGGTGTCTCGACTCATATCCACGAGGCATCCACTGTGCCTGACCACGACTATATGGGGTGGCGAGTAAGTGGGAAGAGTCATTGTACGTTGAGGGAAGTAAACTGGGAGTTTGATACGGGGGATGTATATCCATGCGAGGCATCAAGGCAAGAGGTCGTGATGGTCGAGGAACTTGAAGGGAGTGATCTAAAGGGTAAGGAGGGATTAGAGGGTTTGGTTTGCGTAAGATGCTGCGCGGACGCAGGCTGTCGTTGGGTGGATGGGCGCCAGGAGTTCTCGGGCTGTCGTTGCCGTCAAAGCTCGGTCGGTCACCCGAGCGAGATGGCGGATAATGAGTATACGAGGCAGATCGCATCCTGAGGCCAGCAGGAAGGAAAGATAAAACCTCGAAATATCAAGTACCAATGGACACAAGTGGACCTTGCTACGAAGGATGAACGTGGTTTAAGAAAGAGAAATGAACATCCAGTGCTGCGTGAAGAAGACTCTTTTAAGATAGCTTAGTCGAACTCTGGAGACCCTACTAAGTATTCAGACCGGTCGAGGCTGAGACGCCGTACGTATTATGGGATGTGGGGCTTTTTAAGGTTGGTGCAAGTGCAATTTCATTTTAGACTGACTCTATGATAGAGCGCGTCTATATCTAGAGATGGGAATTACACGGGGAGAAAACCGAGAGAAAGCTCACAGCGTGTCTGATTGTGATAAATCTGGAGCTTGAAAAGAGGTGAGGGTTACGTGTATGGTTGCACAAACGAAATCTAAACATTTGACGAACCGTGAGTCTCGGAAAACTAGACCAACCTAAAAAGTATTAGAGTGATACTGGAGTGACTGAGTCAGGACCCTAGGTCCGATGAGAACATCCAGGCAGGTCCAGGCAAAGCCAGGTCTAGACCCTGAACCGCATATGATCCCCCTCCGTGGGCTCAAAAAATGTGGTGAAGAACTGTAAAGCTTCGTCAGACCGAGCAAGCTCCATGGGGCTTTATAGAACCGTTAATAAGGCGCCAGGACTGACAAAACGTGCTTTCTAGATGAAGAGAATTACTCGAGTCTAAGGTTTGCTAAATTCGAGCAAAAGGAAATGTTCCTGGCAAGGACCGCAGCCCCACTGCGTTAGCCAGCGCCGAGTCTCGGTCACGGTGATAACGGACATGCTATCCGAGACCCCGCAGTCGCTATGTAAGTGCAAGTTTGTGTGCTACAGTGCTATTTGTCTACTATTTTATTGCACAGGACTAGTAACTAATCATATGTGATTTGACTGATCAATGCGAGCATGAGGACGAGGCCTAGGCTCAATTGAAAGTAATAGAAAAGACACCATGAGGGTGTGAAAAAGAGATGGCACGGTGGAATATCCGAGAGATAACTAATTAGGTAGCTTCGCAGTATGAAAGAGACTGGGGTTCAAAATTTAAATAGATACATGTGAGATAGAAAACGTTAGCGAAGCGGCAAGTGACATGATTGGCTGCCAAGTTGTCTCAGCCAATCAAATTAAATCATGTGACCAGTACATTAGTAAGCAGCGTCGGGGAGCGAATATGATTCTAGGGACAGGCACTCTTTGACAGCGTATACTACTCATGCCACACTTCATCCTCTATACAACGCTGTCTGGTTACCATGATAAATCGTCAGTCTTTTTGCCAAGCCCGATGGCTACGTCAGCTTCGACCTGTCAGCTTATTCTGAGGACACCCATGGTATGATTGTATACTACTTTCATCAATTGCATGTATAGTCGCCATACTGGTGACTGTATACCATAATGTTCAAAGAATTGACCAGCTCGAAAATCGAGTAAAGGTCGCGGGCTCTAGCACGAATGTGCTCTAGTCCACCCGCCAGGTTATTGTGAATATTCACCTCACTAGGTGGACCCCTTCGACATAGCAGAAATTTTGGGAGCAGGGTATGTATTCAGCCGCAGGTCCCTCCATGGACTCAGATTTCAAGGCGCGGGGATCTCGTTATATTTATAAAATTTACGGCTTAAACCGACTATGCTACTGTCGGAAATACGGTATAGTTTGTGAGACATGGCGAATCCCGAGACGTTGACGAAGATGACATACTAGGCCTTGTATCGATTCTGCACGGACGGAACCCATAAGGAAACTCGCATCGCAGATCTTGAAAAGATGTGCATCGGTAATATTGCGGTGAAACTTCACCCTCACCGCGTCATATTGGTCTAGCCACTGACCGATAAGTTCATAGCAGAGAATATCACACGTGAGTACCATTTAACATTAATATTGATCAGTGTACTCATATATATATATATTTCGTTCTGCATTGGACTACTAGCCTACTACTCACCACTCTAGAGAAACCGTTTCTATCCAAGCGAACGTCGTTTTCGCTTATTTTCTCCGACCAGCCAATATTGTTACTGTACGCGCATCAGGGCAAAATAACGGACACTGTTCCGCCGCTTTGACACTAGCTAACGACGTTGCTGGCTAAAACTTCACGTTTGAAGAGTGGCAAGTACAACATGTTATTACACTGAAGAATCCTCGCCGTTGGCTGAAGCTGCTGTATGTTGGTCTTAACCCCGGATCTACGAGTTACAAACTGGTCAGTATTGTATATTATTACTATGCTTCATGGTGGCGCGCTGATTCATTACGTTTTTGGTAGCTTGGGTTCCGACACTGCGGAAACAATTATCCAATTCTCACCTGTTCAGGCGGTAATCGGTCTTTCCGATTTGTCTTCTGCACTCGAAATTCAATGGTTACCCTCCATCCGCGTCATTAAATAACCATTGGAACGGAAATGAAACGCAAAACAAATATCACCACACGTCGCAAGAACCTTGACCCCATTTCTGATACTACATAGTACATACGATTCAGATGCTGACGCTCTTTGATGCACAAGTTGGTCTGTGTGTGAATCAATTGATGCAGCACCGTTCCGGAACCATCCTGGGCTCCGGCAGCCGCTCCGCAGGGTTCCGGCCGCGTGGTCGACGTCTCAATTTCGGTCGTTGCGGTGATTTTCATCTTGTTGCCACTTGCGGCGTTGTGGCGCTGTTTGTTTCATTTAAAACGAGCTTCTATGTACCCGTGGCGCTGCCACGAACCCTGTTGTGTCTTTGGCCACAGATGCCGCGTACTTCACACTCCACTTCTGAAGCACCTGTTGCCAACATAAATTCAAAGTAGTGGTTGAATATATATTCTTTTACAAAAAATATATCTGTCAGTACAACAAAGACGATAATTTAAGCGGGTCTCAGAAATTGAGGAAGAACATCGATCATCAGGTGTGACCGTGTGTGGGAGGACAGGTCACAGACTACCGAAAGCCACGTTGCGAGCATTCCCATCACTCACTGAGCTTGAGCGCCAAGTATTTTAGCAAAAGGTCCGATGCTAGCCCCAGAGAAAACATCAAAAAGAAACAGTAAAGAAAGAAAGAGAAAGACAAGAGCATTGATGCAGATGCACTCACTCAAGAGCCTCCCCACACCGCATCAATATATCGTCATGATTTTCGTAATCAGCGTGCACAGAAAGTCCGATGTGCCTCGGCACCTGTCGAAAACCTGCCAGTAGCCAGGTTGCCCTAGATTGCCAAGCTCCTTGCCAGGGCCTACGTAGTCCGCGCATATCGATCGATCAATGAGCATGCCAGCAAGTGCCAGCTGCCCCGACAGCCTTCCCACGGTTACACTTTAAATGCAAAGCGCACCTGTTGCCAACTCAAGAATACTACACGCCGATCATGCTTTTCAAGTCACTTTTCGTCCTCGCAACAGCAGCTCTGACTGCCTACGCTCAATCAGCGACCACGACGTCTGACGCCGCGGTTCCAAGTGGTGTTACCCCGTGCATCCTTTCATGCTCGTCCCAAGCCGCTTCCGCAGGAAACTGCTCCAGCTTGTAAGTTGGCTAGGTTTCAAACAGCATTTGAGCATTCTGAATCTCACATGCTCAATATTAGCTCTGACCTTACATGTGTTTGCACCTCCACTGCATTCCAGGACGCTGCCGGCGCGTGTCTGCAGGCTAACTGCACTACTGCCGAGGTCGCTCAGGCCCAAGCACTTCAACAATCTGAGTGCGCGTCAAGTATGTCGTTCTTTCCAAAGTGTGTACTGGGGCTGATGAGATTAGTTTCGGGGAACTCTACCACCACCACGAGTGGGACATCGACATCGACCTCGACCTCGACCAACACATCCCCCGCTACAACTGCTTCGGGTGCCAAAACTTCAGCAGCAACCTCATCTGGTGCTGCCACGGGTCTCGCGCCTTCGCTTGCTCTCAACAGTGCATTCGGTGGGCTCGTTGCCCTTGCTGGCACCCTTATTGGAGCGGCGTTCGTCGTGTGATCCGGTCAGCGTAGATGGCAATATTTATATTCGCATCGTCACCGGGGGTTAACCTTACTTTGATATCTTCTATTATTTTATTCGAGTTACAAACACTTTTACTTGGATGTTTTAGAATCTTGAGGTCGGCGTTAGACGTCAGCCAGGACTACGACGTTCGGTTACTACGTACATACCTATTGCTTGGCGCCACTCTCCCCTTCAGGGCTCGAGGTAACCAGGTGTCACCATTCAGATACATACATCATAATTAGTTTTTGCACCCCTTGGTAGCATCCTCAATTTGACTATTCGGTAAATATCGTGGGTTGATGAGTAGGGGTGATTTCCAGGAGTGGTGCTGAGAGCAAAGAGGAGTCCAAGTTCCGCTTTGCGCATTGCCCTGGCCCAGCGCTGGCACAGCTGCACCCTAAATGCCGATTGCCTTGCGGTTTAGGCCATGCAGTGTTTGATTGTGATAAAAAATATGGGCGACGTGGGTACGTAGATGGTGGCAGAGATTAAAGCATGATGGTTCGATTGATTGCCCGCTTTCAAAGTTCCAACCGTAGCTATTAGAAATTAGCGCCCAAATCTCTTTGTGCTAGACCTCGTTGCCGGGCATGCACTGTTCACTCGTTTTCGTCTTTTTTTTAGCTTTCGGTTTCTGTGCCGCACAGAACTATACACTTCCTGAATGTGCGCAAGTCTGTGCGGGGACGGCTGCGACGGCGGCTGGCTGTTATTCGTTGTGAGTGCCCAATTTTGAGCCAAGTTTGTCTAAAAATTATTAAAATCATTGCCGTACATAGCTCGAACAGTACATGCGTCTGTGCCTCCCAGCCCTTTCAAGCAGCCATTCAGTCATGCTTCAATACGAGCTGCAATATAACAACCCAAGGCACTGCTTGGCTGTATTACAGCAACTTGTGCACTAACGGTGGGTCTTTTATATGCATTGAGTGAAAAAACGTTTCTCATATGCGCAGGTTCCTCGGCCGGTTCCGGTGCAAGTACATTCTCAGGTAATTAGCGCTCAGCAGTCATATAGTAATTGAATTCCTGGGTGTTGACCGTCACACGCAGCCTCAGGCCAGTCTACTACAACCACGAGTGTCAGTGCTGCTACTAGCACTGCACCGGGACCCGTAACCTCGAATACATCGTCAACCCACACATCCTCACTGTCATCCGTTGGGTCGGCGAGTGTTTCGTCTACTACGACCTCTGCACACGAAACTCCGACATCAACTTCTGGAGCACTTGCGACTGAAATCAAGATGCTACATGGCCTCATGGCGCTCGTCGTTGGCGGTGCTCTGATCTTGTGATATGCGAATTAGATGTTGGCTATAGAACCGGAGGCGATATCGTGCAGGCGTAGGTATACAGGTGTTCTTGCAGTCGGAAGCCTTCGAAGGCCCCTGGAGACCGGGGCGAGCCTAACTCATGGACTTTGTTATATATATCCAAAAGGACCTTTTGTCGGGTCGTATCCTAATAGTAACAGGATTAATATAGCCACGTATATCTGTCAGAATGTGTCGACGGTAATACGTGACATGTGCAAAGCGGGAACTAGACAAGTACTGAACCTGTATATGGATAAACAGAATGAGTAATAAATATGTTGCGACCCACCTAAACTTTGATGGTGACCCACTGAGCTATTTTTGAGATCACCAACATTACACCAATCTTTATGATGTCCGTCGGCATCAAGGAAAGGGAGCACATGGTCATGGACAGGATACAGTTTCAGATGGCCCGTAGAGCCGAACCGGTGGGGAAGTCCCATGGGCCATGCCTGATGACATTGACATGCACGGCACGTCGTATGTCAGGGAGGGCCTAATCAACTCAGGGTACCGATTGGCATTTATATATATCGTCAGCGTAACCTTTCCGAATCAACGCACCGATCAGACTAGTGTCAATGCTAGTATAATGGATTAGTGGCGGTTACGTTGAGGCCGGTGCACTTTGGGCCTTGGCGGTGCTTAGGTCTGATTTGGAACAAGGAACAAAGTTTGGCCAACTTGAAGTGTCGACGTGTCGTCCATCCAACGACGTGCACACATGTCAATGGCGTCCACTACAGCCGTCTTCTTGGATGATGATCGTGAAACTACAGTGGTATTAGTTGACTATCAATTGATGTAAAACCACGGAAGGTTTTTGTGATTGATAAATGAGAACGTAGGCGTGTTGTCACACGTCGTTACACACTTCGTGTGACAGTGACATTACAGTCACTACAAACAAAGCCGCCCGGGTAGCCAAGGTCCTTTCATTCTACTTGTCCTCGACTTATCATTGAAAGCAATTGAACGGACATATCATATTCACGAAACGACCTTCTTCATTTTGGCAGACTTGTTCTTTAACGCTATCACAATCAAATTCCAACAGTTTGCCGTACACGCTGGCCAGATCATATCCCTCTCACCGATTGTTTTTCCATTAGCACGCTCCCCTCATTCCTCATGGGCAACTGCGTATCAGCACAGGACAGAGAAGAGAAGGCCAGGTCAGATGCTATCGACCGTCAGATAGACGAGGACTCTAAGAAGTTTAGGAAGGAGTGTAAGATACTTCTTCTCGGTACGTATCTTGCTTTCTACTTTACTCCATGTCTGTCTATTTCATTTTTTACGAGGCAAACATCTCCGGAGTTGCATCTACTTGGTCTATTTCCTTTAACTGCCTTTATCCGTTCAACCCTTTTCTCTTTGTTCTTACTGCTCATATCCAACCTCAGGGTCCGGCGAATCCGGAAAGTCAACAATAGTGAAGCAGATGAAAATCATTCACCAGAATGGCTTCACCCCAGACGAACTCATGGTGTTCCGTCCGACAATATACCGGAACACTCTCGACTCCGCGCAAGCCATTGTCCTGCAGATGCGTAACATGAATGTGGAGTGTGTATTGCCCGCGAATCGGGTACGTTCTTTCTCGCCTTCTCTCCTACCTTAATTCATTGCTTTCGTAGACTTTTGCCGAACGCATCATCGAATATAGGGTTGAAAACACGCCTGAATTTATTTTCTCCGCTGACATTGCACAAGCCATCCATGAACTATGGCAAGATCCTATCATTTCCAAAGTGATGGACTGTTCGAGCCAGTTTTATCTTATGGACTCGGCTAGCTAGTGAGTCCTTCTATTCACTCAGATTACAAATACTCACGGTGTACGCTCTCAGTTTCTTCACGGAAGTGCTTCGTATAGGCACACCCGACTATACACCAACAGAAAATGACGTACTACGAGCTCGAGCAAAGACAACCGGCATCACAGAAACGCGGTTTAACATGGGACAGCTCTCGTGAGTACACTGGAATGTCAAAGTTCCGTTTTTGATCGCGGTCTCGTAGCATCCACATGTTTGATGTCGGCGGCCAGCGCTCGGAACGGAAGAAATGGATACATTGCTTTGAATCTGTAACAAGCATCATTTTCTGCACAGCATTATCGGAATACGATCAAGTACTATTAGAAGAGAAGAACCAGGTAGGTCCTGTTGCATGCACGATTATTGGGTGTCGTCAATTTTGTCAATAGAATCGCATGCAAGAATCCCTTATCCTATTCGAGTCGGTTATCAACTCCCGGTGGTTTCTGCGAACTTCTATCATACTATTTTTGAACAAGATAGACGTTTTCAAGAACAAGCTACCAAAGGTATGTATTCATTGTTGCAAACGCATGGAGATCTGTTGACACTTTACAGGTACCGATCGAGAAGTACTTCCCAGAATATACGGGTGGCGCAGACATCAACAAAGCGGCAAAATATATTCTATGGAAGTTCATGCAAGCTAACCGGGCGCGCCTAAGTGTTTACCCTCAGTAAGTGTGATTTATCACGCCTCGCTCATCACTCACTATGTCATAGCTTAACACAAGCCACCGATACGACGAATATCAGACTCGTTTTCGCTGCGGTCAAGGAGACCATCCTACAGAACGCTCTCAAAGACTCAGGGATTCTGTGACGCCTGCCTTTCTTGGTTTTTTGTTCTTATCTATCCATATGCGCCTCCACGCCCCATTGGTTAATCTGTATTAACAAGGGTACAGCTCGCATATATATCTGGAACTTCTGGTTATTCTCTAGCATGTTATCATCTTATCTAGCATACCATCAATTATTCATCATTACCCTGGCTGTCCGCGAGATTGATTTACATCATGGCGCCTTTCGCCTTTACATACCGCACAGCATTTGCTTGATCTGGTTGATTTTAACTTGCTATAGCGGGCAACCCCTTCCCTCGTGTGCGACTCTTTATACAGTGATGCGCACTTGACGTGCACAAAAGCGTTTGTACATGTAATTTGTAGCGTGCAATACTATCATCATGCCAGGCGGATATTACAAGGCAGAATCATAGAGCACGATCACCTCATTAATACAAGAAGAAAAAAACATGTTGGGAGCCACTGCATAGTATCAGTACGACGCAGGATTCCTGTGCGCTAACCATCACTATCACGCTCCTCTTCGCTGTCCCACTGGTTAAACCCTAAATCCCTCACACTCGAAACTGCCACAAGAAGCGGATGCTGACCATCCAATATTTTGAGCAGCTTCTCCATGTCCTCCAGAGCAAACTCTTCTACCTCTTCTAACAGCGCAAGCTCCTCGCGATCGTCCTCCGGGGACTCTGCGCGTCGTTTCCGTTTATCTGCAAGTGTCTGAAGCTGATGCTTCGTGGCTTCCATGAGGGTAGCCTGTAGATCCGGTGTGAGCGCTGGAATGCCAACCACTCGAAGCCCATCGGCAAGGGCTCTATACAACGAGGAAAGGAACGAAGGATCTGTTTCGGCTCGAATGGTGTTTATGAGCTGGAGGAAGGAAGCAGCTACCATCTGCGATGTTAGTGTTCCACTCTGCTTTCCGCAAGAGAAAAGCAAAGGGATCAATCTGTGCGTATGATTATTAGTAGTAAGGGTGGCGACAATGAGGATCACCTACCTGCTCGCAGCTTCGCGGACGCCGTCGTGGAAGTAGAATTTTAGGGCGGGGAGGGAGAGCTCCAAACTCTGGGCGAGATAAGGTGCAAATCGGCCACAAAGTGTCGCGCAATAGACAACGAGAGTGTCGAAGGCTTGGCATTTCTCATCGATAGTCGAAGTGCGTATTCCAACGATCTGACCATCCATTGAGATAGTCTCCCAGCCTTCTCGCGTCTCGCCGACATCGTCTTCATCATCTGTGTAGCAAGGTAAGTGGGTACCGTGACCCGAATGAATGATATTACCATAGATAGAGACATCGGCTTTTGCGCTGGCTGCGTTCAGTAGTGGAGGCATGACTACAGGAAGGAACGGCTCGAATTCGGTGCCAAGAGCTTGGCAAATTTTGGCCCAAGTAGCAATTAAAAAGGTGGGCAGCATGGTGTCTGAGGGGTCGACAGGAGAATCTATCATACATGGTAAACGGTTATCGAGATTTGATCTGGAGGCAGTCAAGGACGAACTTTGGATTTTGATTAAAAGCTCGATAAGCGTATTTGCGTCAGCGCGGAAAACGTTACGTCCAACGGCAATTGCTAACAAGGATCAGTCAAGGAAACTTGCGCTGATATCAACTGTTTCTTACCTATTAAACCAGCACATTCCATGGCTTTCGCGCGTAGCTTGTAATGGTCAGAACTGTTGGCGTTGCGGAGAACATTCAAAAGAAGAGGCATTATGGAGGCATAGTGCTGTTGTATATGCGAGCGTCAGACAAACAATGGACACGCGAGACTGTAATATAATACCTTAGCAAATGTTGTCTCGCTGGCATCAGCGACCATAGCGAGAGTTGTAATAGCTTGTTCTTGAACATAACCTTTGACTACCTTGCCATCCTCAGCTCCTGGATTGAGCATCTTGAGCAGGCGCTCAACGATCGGGTCCAAATAAGGAACAAGGGTGTCACGTTCGACACCTTCACAAAAATTGATCAGGGCAGCAGCAGCATGCGAGTGCACACTAAAATAGAGGATCAGGTGGAGGACAAGTGACGGAATCAAGGATGTAATAGTCACCGAGGTTCTGGCGCTTCTAGTGTTGGTATCAACGCAGCGAATAATTGTTCGTGGTAGCGATCTTGAATGATTTCCTTGGAGCACAAGCGTCTATGAGGATCATGGTGGTAGGGTGACTAAACTTACCTCCAAATCAGTACATAGTTGACCACTGCATCAATCATTGAGCGAGGACATCATGAGATAATAGAAGCAACGTACACGCATTGACATGCGGCATACCGCACACGTGGGTGTGCGTCCTTGAACATTGGAGTAACGAGGCTGGGAACACGATCAATGAAAGGGACCGGACAATAAATTGAAGAACGCGCACTCGACAACCTTCCCAAGTTCCATTTGCATCACCTAATAATAGATGAATGAGTGGGCCTGGACTATGCCATAAATATGCTAAATGAACCTTGCTCGTGCCTTCGGCTATGGCTGCGATAGCCATCAGGCCAGCGTGCCTCAATCTCCAGTCGTAATTGGCGAGCATGGACGGAATATAT